AGACATGAAGAAGAGGGGACACATGTTGGATGTAGAAGAGACATGAAGAAGAGGGGACACATGTTGATGTAGAAGAGACATGAGAAGAGGGGACACATGTTGAGTAGAAGAAGGAGACATGAAGAAGAGGGACACATGGTTGATGTAGAAGAGACATGAAGAAGAGGGGACACAAAAAATAGAAGAGACATGAAGAAAGAGGGGACACATGATGTAGAAGAGACATGAAGAAGAGGGGGACACATGTTGATGTAGAAGAGACATGAAGATAAGGGGACACATGTTGATGTAGAGAGATGAGAAGGACATGAAGAAGAGGGGACACATGTTGATGTAGAAGAGACATGAAGAGAGGGGGGACACATGCCTTGAGTAGAAGGACATGAAAAGAGGGGACACATGCTGATGTTAGAAGAGACATGAAGAAGAGGGGACACATGTTGATGTAGAAGAGACATGGAGAAGAGGGGCCACATGTTGATGTGAGGAAGCAGACATGGAGAAGAGGGGGACACATGTTGATGCTAGAAGAGGACATGAAGACGAGGGGACACATGTTTGATGTAGAAGAGCTATAGAGACATGAAGAAGAGGGGACCACATGTTGATGTAGAAGAGGACATGGAGAGAGGGGACACAGTTGATGTAGAAGAGACAGGGAGAAGAGGGGACACATGTTGATGTAGAAGAGACATGGAGAAGAGGGGACCACATGTTGATGTAGAAGAGACATGGAGAAGAGGGGACACATGTTGATGTAGAAGAGACATGGAGAAAGAGGGGACACATGTTGATGTAGAGAGACATGAAGAAGAGGGGACACATGTTGATGTAGAAGAGACATGGAAGAAGAGGGACAATGTGATGTAGAAGAGACATGACGAAGAGGGGACACATGTTGATGTAGAAGAGACATGGAGAAGAGGGGACACATGTTGATGTAGAAGAGACATGAGAAGAGGGGACACATGTTGATGTAGAAAGAGACATGAAGAAGAGGGGACACATGTTGATGTAGAAGAGACATGGAGAAGAGGGGACACATGTTGATGTAGAAGAGACATGAAGAAGTGGATTTTGTATAATAGGTGACCTTTAAAACATTTCTAGCAGCGTCTTTACCTTTCCTCCCTCCTCCTCCTGAGGGTCCTCTCTCACCGACGGCACTCTGCGGTTGGCGAATGTCGGCGAGGCTCCAAAATCTGTGGGGCTGCTGAGGTCCCGTTGAGTTTGGGATTCAATTCTCTGCGGGGTTTTCAACACCGAGCGCGGGTGTAGGCTCCACCGAGGTGTGGGGGCTCGGGCTGGGGTGGACCCCTTCTTTAGTGGGGTGCTGGGGGGCAGCGCCTTGTCAAAAAACTCAGGAGAGAGCCGACAACCAAATCGCACACTCTTCTTCGTGTTAACCGCATCCTCTCCTGAAAAGACAGAAACACTAACTGCAGCCATTGACCTTTTCTCCCGGTAGAGGCAGAGGGGAAGGACACTTTGCTATTAACTCCTGGTAGCTAGAGACATACAACAAGACATGGAATAAAGGACATCATCTATTGCAGTGGTTCTCAACTGGTGGGTCGCAGATGTGTGAGTGAAGAAAAAATAATTGAACTCTTGAAAAAAAGTCAAACTTCTATTTTGAAGGCCCGATTTTCTAACGCTGTGCATGCAGTGGGCGTTGGACTGGAAGTACCGGAGACCATAAACGGTTTTGAAAACTTCTGTCACTAGTGATCATCTTCTCAATAAAGCATCTTTGCTGATGTGTTTTCGAGTCTTCTGGCCAATCAGAATCAAGATAGTTGCCGGAAGTCCCCACGGAGAATAACTTTGCGGTAGAACTCTTCTTTATACATCCATGGTTACAACTTCAGATACAAATGAACACATAATGAAATATGACCCCCAGTTTGATGATTGACAGGTCACAGAACAATGGGGGCTATCTACCCTTACCCACAATTTAAAGTAAGTCACACAGACTCTCTACTCTTTGCTCTTCTCTCTGTGAGGAGCAGCAAGCTGTCAGAACTAAGTGACAAACAAACAATGGCATAACATATTATTAATATGTCGGATAGTAATAGATTTATTTATTTTCTTCTCGGAGTGTACCAGAATGCGTAGTTTATATGTTAGTATTTCTAAAAATCTCCTGGGGGGAATCCCACCCGGACCCCCCTGCTGGGGTTGAGTTTTCAGCATGCGTGCCTTTTTATATAGTTCAGCTTTGATTCCATCATCTCATTAAACCTTTTTTAAAAGCATACTTTAGTTCTGTGAAGGGATATAAGGGATATATGCACTGTACTTCACTTTAATTAATATTGTATGCTGAAAGGCGTATATATATTACAGCACCATTTCTTGTTGAATAGATTTGAGTGGTTCAAAATGTCAGGTCGCGATTTATTGACAAAGGAAAAAGTGGATCCCGAGGCCTCACCAGTTGAGAACCACTGCTCTATTGCATAGTGAATGACATACATGACATTTTTCTTAACTTAAAAATGCAAAACTAAACACTTAATTTTGTTTGACCTTATTGCTTTCTATCAACTAAATATAGCCTCAACACTGAATAAATATCCACATTAAAAAGGTGGCGATTCATCCATTTAAACCCTCTCAGCTAAAAAACACACTCCAACACAGGAAACTCAAATTCTGTGAACTTCCTGTTGAAAATACAACTGAATATTTCCCTGAAGACACTGCAGGTTGTTATCTGTGCATAAAGCGAACCTCAAGTTGAGCTGAGATTAAAGGATCGTTACTCATGCATTGCCACTGAGAGTGCTGTGTTTACCTGGGGGCTTCACCTCCTGCAGAGAGGGGAGGGAGAAGTGGGAGAAAGCCAGGGATGGAGAAGCGGCAGAAGCTTCACCAGGTGGTGCCTGACCGGGGCTTCGGAGATCAAATACCCTATCCTGTTGAGAGAGAATACATTAGGCCCCCCTTCTGTTGCACTGTAGTTCAAGGGGCTTCACAGAACAGGCTAATAAATCCCCCTTAAAGGTCCCCTATTATACTGTTTTTCATCAATATATTATAGGTCTCAGATATATACAGAACATGTCTCTGAAGTGTTTGGCTCCAAATACCAATCAGATAATTGCAGCATTACCCATAATCCCCTCTGTTTCAGCCCTGTTTCCAAAGAGCTGATTCTCTGTCTGTTACTTTAGATGAAAATAAGGAGCCCCTCCCCACGCCCCTCTGAGAGACATTTGGTTACAAAGAATACAATGGTGCTCTAGGAGGAGATTCAGGTGATAAGGTGTGTGGGGGGGGGGGGGGTTACCTTGGTTGGTGATTGGCTAATGGTTACACAAGACAACAAATTATAGGAGATTTTTTTGTGCATATTACAAGTAAGAGTCAAATTAACTTGCAACATCAAAATGTTTGACCGCTATGGAAAAGTACACTATACACGTTAGGTTTCAGGTTTATTGGCATATTGGACAGCGATTGGGTGTTTTCAAATTGAGACATTCAGTTTATGAAAAGTCCAGACATCTCTACCTTTAGCGGAGAAATGTTAAAACACTCTCTAGCGACAAACTACGTGGATACACAAGTCAGAATCGTCAAGTTCATTCATTTTAGGGGACATAAATATAATAAGTTTAAGTATGAGGTTGTGTAATAAAAACCAGATTCATCTTATTATCCAACTCTTGGTTTCCTTTACATCTCTATACTATAATATTTAAAACTGATCCACAAACAAAAACATGTGGTAAGATCTCGTCTGTAAACAGATTGTTTCTTAGCAACAGCTGTCAGCACTGACCTAAGTGACAAAAGCTTGAAAATATTTGTCGTGGCAGAAATAGCACAGAAATGGTTAGTTAGCATTAGCCCCATCACATTAAATACAGCTGTAGTGGATCGGTAAACAGAGGCCTGTCGTGTCTTAGAAAATGAAGTAAGAACATAAGGACAAGCGGAAACACTCCACAGAGTACTTAAAACTGTCACGGTAACATTTCTAAACATGGTGTTTTCTCTCTTGTTGCCTGCATGACCAGACGTCCTGAGCCTTTTAGGGAAAGACAGCAGTTTGTGGGGGAGGAGACGGTCACAATATTGTAGGTCTGCCTTGTTGTCACCTGCTGTGTGGCTGCAGTGGAGAGGCTTATGATTACTGCTTGTGCTGCCACGGAAGTGTGCTACTGTGGGCAAAGGCCATTACACACTTCATTTAGGAAATTGTGAGCTTGGTTAGTTAACCTTACAGATATCACCCACGTCACTTCCCATTGGCAGATAAAAAACGCTTGAATCTGGTTGTGCTTGTGTCTGTTGTCGGCCTGTTTGTGTTAGAGCGACTACAAGGAGCGACTGAGCTCTACAGAGAATTAAAAGCAACCCATTCGATATGAGGAAAAAAAGGAAATCTACGTCTGTTTTTAAACAGGGAATTCAATTAGCACCCATTTTCAAATATTGTCTGTGGCAGATAAACATTTCTTGGCAGGTCGGTTTCCTTATAGACGAGAGCAGAGGTATGACACTGCCTGGCGTCGTTTTATCATACCTTAAAGCTGTTGTGTCACATATTGCCTTCATGCCTCCACAGAAAGGATGAAAAGCGTCAGTTAATTTGTTTGTATCTGAGGGCAACAGTTTAATTCAGATTGATGTTAACACCAATCGTGAAACGGCTGTAATGTGATGAGTGAAAGGAGTATGCTGCACTAAATGAAAAACACTGATAATCCAGTGTTCGCCTGCGGCCTGCCAATCGTCCACATCGATCCTCTAGAGCAGGGGTGTCAAACTCAAATACACAGTGGGCCAAAATAAGAAAATGGGTACTAGTGGAGGGCCGGACTGGTTCAATGTTTATTGCAGAACTTATTGAAATGAACTTACTGCACATATTAAACCTGGAACTAACAAAGCTTAAATGATTGCCTATAAAAACAACATTACACATTAAATAATCAGTTGCATTCATTTCTTATGGCTCTATCTGCAGCTTTTCCAGAGTCATTTCTTATGATTAAATGTTTCCTCAGGCCAACAACAGCTTCAAAAAAACTATTCCCCTCAAAGAACAAAACAAACATGCCCTGTTGCCGTGAGAAAGAAAGTGCAGAAGAACATCCATTAAACTCAGTGTGCTGCTCTGTGATGCTAGTTCAGATACTTGGCATCTCATCTTGGGTGCAAGTTCATCAATGTTTGGGCTCAGGCTCTGAGCTGAGGAGACCCTCAGGATGGAGTGAAGGTGTGCGTGCAATATACCGGCGGGCCAGATCTAATAGTAATTAGAAATTACCCTGCGGGCCGAAATTAAATCCACCACGGGCCTGATTTGGCCCCCGGGCCTCGAGTTTGACACATGCTCTATTGTTTTTAATGTTGTCATATATTGACGCCAATCATCAATGAGATCGTCTAATTCAAGGTTCAAAGCTTTTATTGGTCATACGTACATAGCTACAGTGTAGTTATGATGATGACAATCTTAGGTCACAGGCTCCTCCAATAGCGCAACACAATAAAACAGATAAAATAGTGCAAGTAAATACAAAAGATAAAATAGTGCAATAGTGATAAATAATTTCTAAATTGCAGTTAGATGAATGTTATGGATGTTGTTTCAAAAGGTCAGGTGTTTAACAGTTAGTTGGGTGGGTAGAAGGGGGTATCATGCACCCCCCTGAAAGGTTAGATAGGTTGGGAGGCTGACATGAAAGCTTGGTTGGTATCCTTAGCTCCTGCTTTAAGAATACTGCTGCGCTCGTAGTTGGCTAATGCTGTGCGTAAAGATTTAAAGCACGACTGATGGTGTTTAGCCTCACAAGCAAAGAGGCCCTTCACTTGTCTTTGAAGTCAAACTAGACCCATATTCTCAGCCCGTGATTCTATTTGCTCCCATGCATTTTCTTTGTTCTTATAAGATGGGAAGTATTCAGGTCTCTCAGTTTTACAATGACCATCTTTGATCTAAACTTTGTCGCAACTAACTAATTTTAGTTCGGGTTTTTTTTTGGTGTGAAGTTCTGTGAACGCAACTTTTCGGAACTATTGTGGGAAAAGTACTCCGGTGTGAAAGCGCCTAAAGACACCCTGTTCTGAGAGCAGCCATCATGTTCCACAGTTTAACCTGTTAAGCCCTGGGCCTATTTTTCAGGCCTCAGGCTTGAAAATGACATGCCCAGAATGAATGATTATATCTTCACAACTAAAAGGGGTATATGAATAATATTTGTTATCAAAGCAATGATACAATAAATAAATCTATCACTACACGACATATTTAAAAAAATGAATGCCATTTTAGTTTTTTGTTACTTTGTTCTGAAAGCTGAACCTGCTGCTCCTCACAGAGAGAAGAGGCTGTGAATTACTTTACATTGTGGATAAGGGTGGATAGCCCCCATTGTTCTGTGTGTCAAAATGAAAGACAGCTCACACATGCAACTAGACATGAGTCTAGTTGAGTTAGCTACTTACCTTGTTTGTTTGAAGGTTGAATGTGTAGCCAAGTTAGCTACTTGTTTGTTTTTGGCGGGAAAAAATGTTCACTACTGCCAGAGCTGTATGCCACAGATACATGTGATCACTTTGGGAATAGTATTATTGTGATCTTTGACCATCAAAACATGGGTCTCGACACATTAGTTGTTCATGTATCTGCAATATTGGCTGAGATAGAGTGAAAAGTGTGAATTCAGTTTTTGGTAATGGTGACACTAATTTGCATAAAAAATACATGCGGGACATCCAGACAACATTTTAACATAGCTCATCATTTTCTACATACTCTTTCCACTTCGGAAACACTGAATATAAGAATATTTCTGTGTCGGTGCAAAATACATCGTTCTTGGTACAAGACTAAAATGCTATTTTCTTGTAATGGCGGCACTAATTAGCCTAATAGCATGCCACAGACACATGTGATCACTTTAAGAATAGTTTTATTGTGTTCCTTGACCCTCAAAACATGGATCTGGATACCTTATTTGTTCAGTTATCTGAAATAATGGCTGAGATATAGTGAAAGGTGTAAAAGAGTGAAACTCGATTTTAGGGTAAATAAACACTAATTTGGGGAAAAAATACACGTGGGACAATTTTTCAACATAGCTAATCGTTTTCTACCCAATTTTTCCAATCTAGAAAAGCTGATTAAAAGTATATTTCAGGGGGGTGCATGATACCCCCTTCTACCCACTAGACTAAGCCTAATTGTTTACCAACGGATCATTGTGTTTGGGCCCCTTGTCGATACAAAAATGCACAGTATCCTTGTTATTTGAATATGACTGGCAAAGACCGAGTACCCAGACGGATTGCTCATGTATTTTAGAAATTATTTATTCTTTCTAAATGAAAATTCCTAAATTAAACATAGTCAGGGAGTTAGACTACTTGATATATTCCATATGTTTATACTGTCTGGTTCCAGTGACTCAGCATTTACAATTCTAAATCGTTCTCCAGAGATTTCAGAAGACGAATCCAATATTGAATGTCGGGGTTACATCTCCAGTGACCTGCTACAGCGGCGATCAATGTTTAAATTGTGGCCGGCCGCCATGAATACATCAATGTTTATTCTGTATGTATGTTTGTATGAAAAGTCTTATAGTCTGCTAGTATTGACTGTGATTTTCTCTCCACTTAAAAAAGAGTAAGGTCATGCTGTTAGTCAGAAGGGATCGTCACAAGGGGAAGGCATGTGAGCAGAATCACAACCTACATTCATTTCTCAGGGAGTCACTTCTAAAGGTTGTGTGTGTGTGTGTGTGTTGCAGTGTGTGTGTGTGTTGCAGTGTGTGTGTGTGTTGCAGTGTGTGTGTGTTGCAGTGTGTGTGTTGCAGTGTGTGTGTGTGTTGCAGTGTGTGTGTGTGTTGCAGTGTGTGTGTGTGTGTGTTGCAGTGTGTGTGTTGCAGTGTGTGTGTGTATGTGTTGCAGTGTGTGTGTTGCAGTGTGTGTGTGTGTTGCAGTGTGTGTGTGTGTGTGTGTTGCAGTGTGTGTGTTGCAGTGTGTGTTGCAGTGTGTGTGTTGCAGTGTGTGTGTTGCAGTGTGTGTGTGTGTGTGTTGCAGTGTGTGTGTTGCAGTGTGTGTGTGTGTGTGTGTTGCAGTGTGTGTGTGTTGCAGTGTGTGTGTTGCAGTGTGTGTGTGTGTTGCAGTGTGTGTGTGTGTGTGTGTTGCAGTGTGTGTGTGTGTGTGTGTGTGTGTGTTGCAGTGTGTGTTGCAGTGTGTGTGTTGCAGTGTGTGTGTGTGTTGCAGTGTGTGTGTGTGTGGTGTGTTGCAGTGTGTGTGTGTGTGTGTGTTGCTGTGTGTGCAGTGTGTGTGGCTGTGTGTGTTGCAGTGTGTGTTGCAGTGTGTTGCAGTGTGTGTTGCAGTGTGTGTTGCAGTGTGTTGCAGTGTGTGTTGCAGTGTGTGTTGCAGTGTGTGTTGCAGTGTGTGTTGCAGGGTGTGTTGCAGTGTGTGTTGCAGTGTGTGTTGCAGTGTGTGTTGCAGTGTGTGTTGCAGGGTGTGTTGCAGTGTGTGTTGCAGTGTGTGTTGCAGTGTGTGTTGCAGGTGTGTTGCAGTGTGTGTGTTGCAGTGCGTGTTGCAGTGCGTGTTGCAGTGCGTGTTGCAGTGTGTGTTGCAGTGTGTGTGGCAGTGTGTGTGCAGTGTGTGTTGCAGTGTGTGTGTGTGTGTTGCAGTGTGTGTTGCAGTGTGTGTTGCAGTGTGTGTTGCAGTGTGTGTTGCAGTGTGTGTGGCAGTGTGTGTTGCAGTGTGTGTTGCAGTGTGTGTTGCAGTGTGTGTTGCAGTGTGTGTTGCAGTGTGTGTTGCAGTGTGTGTTGCAGTGTGTGTTGCAGTGTGTGTTGCAGTGTGTGTTGCAGTGTGTGTTGCAGTGTGTGTTAGGATCTAACCTGTTGCTTGTTAGCATGGGAACCGGCGAGGATCTCAAAGTCATCGTGAAGGTTTTGGGATATAAGCACAGCGTGGGCCTCGTGCCCAGTTTCACTGGATGTCAGCGTCCCCGTTTCTTCCTTCTCCTGTGGACAGAAATAAGAATTCACTGTTTGTATTCTGCCTCAAAGCACCACGACAGCAAGAACACAATATTTCTGTGGATACAGGAAATGGGAATTTATCAAACTGCTGTTTTAGCTTTGAAAACCTCATATTGCATTTTACGAATAGAAGCTTTAGACAAAGGCAAAACAAATGTGATGATAAATAAATAAACAAACGTCAGCACTTGAGTGAGTTTGTCTCTTTTTGGATGCTGAAAAGTTCACTGAAAACTAGCATTCAGTTAAAAATAAATCAGCAGATTCAAAGGAGACAGAGAGGGAAAACCTTTTAGGTAAATTATTTAAAGCAGTCAAGTTAAGAGTCAGTACCTCCTGCTCCTTCAAACTGAAGGGGGGGGTAGGAGCCTCTCTAAACTCCATCTTGCAGCCCAGGCGCTTCCTCTTGCTGGGTGGCATCTTTGGGGGGAGGTTCTCCTTCCCTTCAGAAGGGCTGTTCCCATCTGACCGGGATACAGACAAACATGGAAATAACATGTAAATAAACAAACGGGACTTTGGGACACCTCCGTTAAAGATAAAACAGCACATATCAAATAAACATATCGTAACAAAAACACAGCTTGAATTCCAACTTTGAAGAAAAGTTGATCAAAGCACGGGAGACAACGTTTCACTTTGGCATCAACCAGCTCAGAAACGTGTTGATGACGCTAATCAGAAGGAAAGTCTGCTGTAACAGAGTTTATACTGCGCTGTGCATTAATCCACCGCCTCCAGACATCATAATAAAACCCTACTGGCATAGATCCTTGTTGAGGAATGAAACTATTAATCCTGTAGCAATGAGGCGGCCTCACCAGACAGATAATCTCTTGTCTTGATGCATCCTCCAGTGTTGCTGTCCTGCTTTGGCACGGGATCACAGATCACACTCTCCTCCACATCCATCAGGCTCCGGAAACTGGCCATCTTCTGCCTCAGCGTGGTGTTTATTTGGGGAAGTAAAGGCCCACTCATGACGTGCTGAGGAGAAACAAACACATTCGCTCAGTGATGAAGCCTGACAGGCCATACACTCCTGAAGTTACACGAGTGGTATTACCAACAGGCAGGACATCGATCACACACCACACACACTGCCCATGAATAATACAAGTTATCCGTTCCCACAGAATTCAATTCTATTTGTGGGGGCACCCCCCCGGCGGGCACCCCCCCTCCCGCGTTGTAAATGAGTGAGCCACACCGGAGTTGAGGATCTGTGGGGTTTATTCTCCCAAAATATAATTAGCAGATGCCTTATTCCAAAGTGATTTACATTAGATTACATACATTTAATGACATTCTCCCTGGAGTAACTGAGGGCTAAGTGCCGAGTTCAAATCCCGCCTGGAACACCACGACTAGGATGTCTAACAAACAAACAAAATACAATTTGGCTCGGCTACACAACGCTTCAGATGTTCAGACAATGTGCAAAGTTTGCAGCCTACTTGTTGCAAAGTTTGCACCCTTTGTCTTGACATCCGATTTTACGGGGCTTCCTGAACAAATATTCTAATGCCCCATCTTATGGGAAGGCCTCAGGACAGGGTCCATTTATGGAGATCTTCAAGCAAGCAGCCAGGTGTTCTCCTTGGAGCTGGTTTCGGAGGTCTGTTTTCACCTGAGGATGAAGCCAAATGGAATACCACAAACTGAACTAATAACGAAAATGTATAATAATTTGTTGTGCTTTTCAAAGTGATGCTTTTTCTGTTCATCGCCGAGAAATCGCGTTCACAGTTGACACTAGAAACGGGGATAACTAGTCCTATGCCCACAAGGAGGCTCAGGCAGGGGTAGAGCTCAACCCATTCATCAAATTGACCATGCTGTGTGTGGTATAGCCATGGCTTAGGCCCCGGCCACACGAGGATGATAGCGGTAAAACGCATATGCAATCGCAAACAAGCTTCCGTCCACACGCAATAGACACCGGAAAGTTTCTGTCCACACGAGACCGCTCCGTTTAGCTCCAACCGCTGGAGAAGCTGCAGTACATATGCCGAGCCTGTACGTGGCGCTGTAACTTCCTCCACAAAAGCAGCGAAGAAGCATGGTTGTCATGGTTGCCCTTCTGTTTATTCTACGCGGTGGGGGCCGAGGGAACCGGGCAGAGTTTTTCGCCAGTCAACGTGTATTAAAGTTTAAATCTTCCAGACAAAATTATAAAAATGCTGGTCAAAGGTCTTCTTAGTTATTTATTGAGCTTTAAAACAAATGAATAACGACTCTATATATTATAATAATAAAATACACGGAGCCTCTCTTTTTCCTCCCTCTCTTCGGACAGCACCAGTGTCTGTTTCATGCAGCAGCTGATCCAGTAATGAGTGACCCGGCCGACAGTAAAAATAAACATATTTATAACTAGTTTAGGTAGTTTGAGAGGTAATTAAAATAGCTAAGGGTGATGATCGGACTTGAAGTGTGTTTTGCTCCGTTCACCGCTGCATCAGAGAGGGAGGAGCTGCAGGTGAGCAGAGCTGCGTGTCTCCGTCCTGTCAGATTAGACTTCACTTGCGTTTATGTCCATATCGAGAGAAAGATAAATAATCTGAATTCAGTGTGCAGTTTACTTTGACGCGGGGGTGAGCAGCAGAGGTGGGGAGAGGCCTCATCATCATCAGAAAATGATCGTATAGGGCGTACACACGGAGCCGTTGGACCCCCCAGAGCGTTGCGTATGCTGTTCTATCCACCTTCGGACCCGTTATCGTTTAGTGCCATATTCTGTCGTCCTAGTGTGGCCGAATGGTCTATATGCAGGGGTGCACATAACTTTTTTGCCCTGGTTCTCAAAGGAGCACCTGGAGATGTTGCTTGGTGCTCATCCTTTAAAATGAAATAAACCGTAACTTTTGAGGGGGTCTTGACTTTATTTGCCAGACACACGGCACTGAACACACATGCAGAGGTGAACACACGACAACATTAGCACGACCAGTAATCCTACAAGCTGTCCCTCCTGACTGTTCTCCTCACTGTCTTCCTCTCTGTCAGACATGGTAGCTGATGATGTAGGTCTACTACTTTCTCTCTGGTTGAGTCTGTGATTAGCTGCTTGCATCCACAAGTCAACAGCTGGTTTTGGGTCGAAAGCCTCTGTTGTCATCTTAGACAAGTGGATGTAATCAAATAAGTATGTGAACATAACCAATAGCCTACCATAGCCAATAACAAATTAATGTAACTTATTTTATTTGTGTTGTTCATTCATATCTTATTTTACCTTAACATTTATTTATGCTTTTTTTTTTTTAATCTCTCCTGGAATGATTTCAAACCTGTTTATCCCAATAATTATAAAGGAGTGCCTTGGAAATATGTCTTTACATAAATTGTGACCAAACTGTTTGAACTTAGACTAAAGTGAACTATCTAAACACTCCACAGTCCTTTACCTCACTGAGCTGTAGTTATCAGCCTCTCAGTCTGACTGGAGAGGACTCTCCCTCCACATTATTGTAGAAACATCTTCTTCTTATCTCCATTAGAGCAGCTAGCATGGCACCAGATTCTAATAACAACACCGGGCGGTGCGCCCTTCTCTCTCTCCCTCGCTCACTCGCATTTTGGCTGTGAGCGCCAGATAATCCAACATCCCCCATTTTCATCACTTACAGCGCCCATCGTACAGGGCAAATGAAAGGTGGAACCGGGGTGAAAAGGGTGTTACATTTACTTAATTGTGAATATTGTTACATCAAGGCCGAAAATTAGGATGAGCCCCAACGGTCAAAAATGTTTTTTTCCCTCCCAGAACTGCCAGCGCAGCGCCTCCACAGATCTGGCGCCCGCCTAGGCGAACATCTATAACGCCAGTGCTACGGGCCGGCACTGAGTTCATATGCAACTCGCAAATATCTTTCTCCTCTTTTCTCTTCTCTCTCAATTTTGGTACGCAAATGCGCCTTTTTTTCAAATGACCCGGTGCTCTTTTTTTGGCGGAGGTGCGCGCACCAGTTATGTGCAGCCGTGTCTATATGACACAAAACGGTAACGGAAAAGACCGTTATCGTCCTCGTGTGGCCGGGGCTTTAAAATGGAGGCATATTCAACAGGGCTCGACATTAACGACTGCCCGGGGCCATCTAGTATTTAGCTCAGGCAATGAAGCCTCACCTGCTAGATGCCCGATCGGGCAATCTATTATGCCAGTATCATGCAGCTCGCGGATCCAGTAATGAGTAACCCAACAGTGAAACTAAACATATCTATAACTAGTTTAGGTAGTTTGAGAGGTCATTAAAATAGCTACGTGTGCTATTCTAACCTGAAGTGTGTGTTTTGTCCGCTCACCGCTGCATGTGATCATGCAGAGCTGCGTGTCCACTCGTCAGCAGCAGCTGGTCTCTCTCCCGTCAGATTAGACTTCACTCGCGTTTATGTCCATATCGATCAGATCCAGCTAGTTCTAGCTAACGATATGACTACCTGCTTATTAAAAGACACCTAAACAATAAGTGTCGCTATGCAACTGGGTGAGGCCACAAAGTATAGCGCAGCATTATGCATATGTTTACATGCCCACCGGAACCCAGAAGCATTACCAACAGATCAACGCACAATCAACCCACACCGGACATCTCCTTCTCCACATTAAGTGTTAGACATTAGAATTGACTATTCATGTCTGTCACATACTCTTCTTGTGTGTCACATAAGTGGCGCAACTGAAGAGGATGCGCTCGGCTCCTCTCGACTGCTGCTCGGTCAGCTTCCGGATGAGGAGGCATTCGTTCGACCAACTTACAGTAGATAACATTACAAACATTTTTAACAGGGGCCATAATAGTGTAAATAATGTTTGTTTTGGCAGTTATAACTGAATGTAATGTTTTCTACTTTTTTCCAGATGGAAAGTGTCTTGACCAACAACTTAAGTATTTCTTATAGCTATGCAGGGCATGCAAGCGAGCAAACACAAACAAGAACAAACAAACAAACAAGTGAAATGAAGAATACAATAGAAATTGTACAATATAATATTGTGGTGGTTCATCTTATAATTCAGTCTAGAGAATGCACCAGACAGCATCTAAGACCTGCAAACATCTACATTGTCTAGGGGGAGGCCCCCCAAAACCTTGCCATGAGCATTTTTCAGGGCAATCTCTATTGGGCTCAGGGCCATCTGTAAATTAGCTTGAGGCGCGTTTCCACTGCAGGCCTCGCTCGGTTTGGTTAGGCCTTATTAGGCCCACGATTTAGTCGGGCCAGAAAAAAGGTGAAAAAGTAGCCCCGGGCCAAAACTAGGCCATGTGGAAACGCAACCAAAAACGGGCCCCCAAAATCCTTAATGTCATGAACTGTTCAACCACTCTGGATCAAATCCAGTGCGTCTATGCTTGCTTCCCAATTACAGAAATGAGGCACAGACAAATAGAAATGATGCCTCAGAAATCTGGTTTTCTGACCAGCTTCTATATCTCTGTGTTTTCTGTCAATCTCACCTGCTGCTTCTGAGCTAGCTGGCTCTGCCACGGCTCCCTGACCCTCTCTTGCTGCTACACTAGCACTGGTTTGAAGCCTGGAAAATATTTCAAACAAATTAATTGGATAGCTAATCACACTGGTCGGACTGTTCAGCTTTCCCGCGTGTGTCCCACCAACGTGTGTTTCTATAGGTACTTAATGCTAATACCTCTGTTCCAGGCTGTGTTTGCTCCTCTTCAAGATGAGCCCGTTTCTGCCTCTGAAAATATGTTTCTATATTCATCTGGTGTGAGGGAGCAAACATCATTCAGCGTCAGAGTTAAAGAATTAAATGCAGTCGGTAGTTGACTAACGTTAGGAGCGCTATAATGTTACACAGCGTGCTAACCTCGACAACCTAGCTAGCAACTAGCTTGCTAGGCTCCTTTCATGCTTGTTAGCTAATAACTTATTTGAAGAGCTGGGTCTCCGCGATTTACAGCGTGATACGAACAGAGAGACTAACTTATCATAGTTAACTTGAATACATCCATTTTGGACAAATGTATGCATATACCATATACCATATACGCCGCTGTGTGGACGGGCGGGTGATTCTCCGGCACGCGGCATCTGGTTTCAAACTTCAGAAATGTCTTGCAGAGATGAGGGGGCGGGGCTAAGGGGCCGTTGAGAGCAAAGAGCACGCAAAGAGGGGCTGAGCGGGTAACTGCGCTCCACAACGAAATGTTATTTTATTCAAAAAAAAAAAAAAAATTGGAAAACATTTTTTTTTTTACGAGATCTATTTGTGGTGGACGATATTTAATTGTGGTGGCCCGCCACAAATAAATCAATATATGGGAAACACTGGAGCAATGCTTCTTCTTACAGTTACGTCACAATATTCTTTCAATTAGGATAACACATTAGTTAAAAAATACTTTCCTTCAAGCGTCATTCGACTCTAAAGGGATTTGTATTTATTAGGCTATTTCACAACTAGGGAAAGTGCACATTAATAAGCATTGCTGTAAATGCACTTGTGTTTGCAAAGAGGCATATTTTAATCTGTAGTCCCTGGTCAGATCATTCAGTCGCCCTAAAAATTAATTATAATATTAAAAAAAGTGATCACAATTTATAAAAAATGTGCAACAAAGGAGACTCCATATAAAGGGAATGCAAATAAAAACAAACATGCATATTAGAAAGCGACAGGTTGCATTAGACAGAAGTACAGACAGTATATTGCAATTTATATAATTAAATGTGTGGATCCTTCAGTGTCACTCACCCGCTGCAGACTAGATATTTGGTTGTACACAAAGTAACTTCTTAAACCACCTCTGCATCATACTGCACTTCTAAACTCTCCATTTATATTCTCACTGGGTTCCAAACATTCACAGTTCCACATGTACATATGGCTAAATGCAAAGCTCTCATTGGGATCCTTATCATAAGCCATGTGCTGGTGAGCAGACTCCTGTCATTGGCTAATGTGCCAAGAGCCCAGCTCCTGTCCTTGATTGGTCAGAAACATATTATCTTAAGCAATAGGCGCTTTCACACCGCAGTACTTTTCCCACAAATGTTCATGAGCACTTAGTTCATGAGAACTCTGTAGTTCCCATGAACTAAGTTCAGATCGCGTTCACACCGGAATAAGTTCCCTGGGGGAGGATTAGGCAAATGAAGCAGCTGACGTCACTTATTTTTCTTATTCTGCTTTGGGTTTACTGGCAGGCCGCAAACAACTTCACGGCGTATACTGCCACCCAAAGTCCCCGGCCGGAAGTCCCCGGAGTTGGGGACTGGCTTCAGTAGAAGCTGCTGGGACTCCCAGCAGCTTCTACTGAAGCCTTCCGAGTAAATCGCCAGAACACCGACATCTCCACATCTCCACCGCTCCCATGTTTTCTTTTGTGTTGCCATAAATTAATCTCTCTGCGTTTGTGCGCTGGGCTAATGCTAATAATGCTAATGCAAGGATAATAAAATGGCAGCTTCACAAAACTTTTTTTAAATTTTACGGGGCGTGGTTTGCAATCCGCCCAGCCAATCAGACATAGGAACCGGAAAAGGGGGTAAAAAGGTTCTGATTAACTAATTTCAGTTCCGGCTCTTTTTGGTGTGAACGCGACATTTCGGAACTATATCGGAACTAAAGTGGGAAAAGTACTGCGGTGTGAACGCGCCTATTGAGCTAGTGTAGAACTCTCCTTAATGATGTTGTCATATAGACTTCAGCTTAACACATATTATGCTAAATTAAGAAGCATTTAGTATGACTCAAATGATCATAACTGTGAACATATGCTGATGTTAACCAACTTTTAACAGCAGAAATAATCCATTAAAAAAGGTAGAATCAGATGCCGTCTATTGTTAGTTTACCAAAAATATGCTTTAGGGAAAGAAGTGAATTATGGGGTAGAAATGTCTTTAAAACTGTAATTTGATGTTTATTTGTTTTAATGCCATATAGACATGTTACTGTTAGAGTACACTGTGTCTGACCAATAACTTGTAATATCCACTCTCAGGCATAAAGGGTGCAAGTCTTTGATTATTAAATATTGGGTGAGGGATCACTTTCATGAGCTCTCTATTCGGCGGTTACTTTATAAGTATGGAAACCTTGCGAGTCCTGGCGAAGATAGGCAGCAGCAGTTAAAGAACACAAACAACAACAATAACAGAGAACATATATGGTCACACTCAGAGCATCATCATAAAAGGCATCTACAGACAGAGCTGCTGCTTCTCGGTCATTAGGAAGTACTTTAAACTTGTTTAGAGGGACCAGCTCCCTGAGATTCAGTTAGTGTTACAGCTGGTTCCAAGCAAATGGAGCCGCTTTATTTAAAAGCATTTGCTAGTTCAAACAATTCATACATTTCTGCTCTGTTTATTTGCTGCTTTCAACTGATAGCAGTCAACACAGGAGGAAACACTTATCTCACTGTGTGCTAATGACAAATTAATGTTTGTATTTGGTACCAGATCAAAATAAGCTAATCTTACATAAACTCATCTGAAGTCTCCTTTTGAAGCTGGAGTGAAATGGCCTGAAAGAAAGTTATTTAACCGAGTGCACATACAGCATATGAATATTTACTGTGGATGTGCAATACTGCTATTCGTGTAAAACTACTAGTAGTAATGGCAGTGAGGCCAGTCTTTGTATGCATCTGATGATGAACAAAACCGTACAGACGCCACACGGTCACATACAGAATCAGTCATAGATGTCGGTTTCAATATTTGATGACAGAGAGCCCATCAAACGCCTGGCTGCAATCTGAACATTGACTCACACCCCAATATGATGTGGCAGCAGGGGTGCAAGATGTTCTCATCTGCACCCTGAGAAAGATCTCACCTCTGGAGTTCTGGAGCCTGGCGGTGGCGGAGTCCTCATCCTGTGCTGTGCCATGAAGCGTATCAGGGAGTTGGTCTCTGGGGAGCCTCGGACACCAACGGAGGACCTCCGCCTAGCCTTCAATTGTGCCAGACGAGACTTATCTATAGAAGAGGGGAAAGAATGACACTTCAGTAAAAAATCAATAGTTGCCGTACGCAGGAAATACAAAATTCCCTGTGATGTTTCTTTGCCTCTGATTGAACGCCTCAGTGGTGATGTATAGTGCTGAATTTGTTTCTTTTTGGAAGGTGTACATACTAATATTACTGGTTATAAAATGACCTACAGTAAATGTAAAAATGTATGGTTTCTTACAGTTGTGTGCCTGATATATACAAAGTAAACACGCATGTAAACAAGCAGATTAACATAAAATAAAGACCAGTGCTCTCACCTTTGTGGTTTGGTAATGATGACACTGGAGTAAAGCTCTTGACAGAGATGCCAAACTGACACGGCGTGAGGTTGCAGAATATCATGGGGGCGGTGGTGTCATTTAAAACTGGACGAGAGTACCCTTTTGAGGGGGTCAACATGTTCTCCTGATCTCCATCAGTACTATTTTCTAGGGTAGCCATCTGCATAGACAATTTGAAAATAGCTTAATTACACCATGAGCAAATGTAACGTAGAATCACATTGGTTGTTAGTAGTATTGACAAGGGGAAATGTAACATGGTTAACAGGTCGCTAAAGTCATCTGTATCTTCTATAGAGGAGCAAAAATAACTGAACTTAAAAGTAGAACTATCAGGGTGTAGGAATACTCTGGTAGTAAAAGTCCTGCAATGAAAATATTACTCAAGTTAAAGTACAAAAGTATTACCATCAAAATATACTTTAAGTATGTCAGTGTACTCAGCCGTGGAACACACTCCAAAACCTCATAGAAGATGGAACCGTGTGTGTGTGTGTGTGTGTGTGGAAAGGGGGAAATGTAACATGGTTAACAGGTCGCTAAAGTCATCTGTATCTTCTACAGAGGAGCAAAAATAATTATTACAGAATAATGTATATAGTATGTTTTGATTATAAATATTGATGCATTAACTTGTTTATCAAGGATGGTAAAGGTGCAGTTTTAATTACTTTGTATATTGTAGGGTAGCTAGTTAACATTACTCCAGGTGTAACTAAAGTATTATTTAAGTGTTGATTACATTTCACATTATTGATACAAATCTGCAAAGAAACTAAGACATTAAATAAAAGTGGTGGGGGACAAGTACATGATTTACCTCTGAACTGTAGTGGAGTAGAAGTACTAAGTAGCAGACAATTGAAATACTCAAGTAAAGTACAAGTAACTCAAAACTGTGCTTAAGTAAATGTACTTTACATCACTGATTTTCTTAATATTTAGTTACAATCAGGCTCATGCTTGTAGGTCATAACAGTTAACAGTTGTGTGAATTAAACATGTATGTGAATAACGTCAATAACGTTTAAAAAATAGTAATGTTTCAAATACTTTTCCCAGCATGATACTTATAAAGTAAGCTAGCATCCTGCTAACATTAACAAACTCTGCTAACACTTAGCAACCATTGGCTAGCTCAAAATACCCAGCGTGTTCTTCATAATAAATGCGAGTATTGAATGGATGATTAACTAAATCATAAAGTATTACACAGGTTAAATAAATACAGTAGATATATACAAGTGACCTAACGTTTTTATCGCCAACTATCTCTGAAAATTAGCACGAATGCTAATAGTTGATTAGCTTCCCATCTCTTCATATGGGACGTTAGCTCACAATAGCAACATTTTAGTTAACATCATAAGGTGACAATGCTTACCTGGCAAATAATAGTGATGTCTCCTGCGTGTATTTATAACAATACAAAAATGGAAAACACATGTATTGCTAACTGTGTTATAGAAAAATAAAAAACATCTCAATAGATGTTTGAGGTTAAGAATACAAACGATAAAATCCGAGAGCAATTCAAATCTCGCTCCTAACGAGAGCCAGTGAGATCCCTCCGCGTAAAGTCTCTTAACTCTTGAAAACAAACACTTATAGAACTTCAAAAAAAATGCCGTGTATTTTGTATCCTTGTCAAAAAATGTAAAATATTAATAACAAAGGCATGTATTAGTAAAACAAAATGTCGATATAAAGTAAGAAACTGTATCGTTGGGAGAGAACTAACTTCCGTATTTTTAACGTCTTGAAAAGCACCGGAACTCGTTTAGTATGAATTGGCCAATAGAAATGTCCGACATTATATCACGTGACATCAAGAGTCAAATCAGGAAAAACAATACATGCACTTAAGTTTCCTGCTATTTTCTTGATTATATTAAGAATGTATTTATATTTATTTATGTATTCATTTATATATTTTAGTTTTTTTAAATCACTTTTTCTTCTTTTTAATCTATTCATTACTTTGGCACCGCACTTATACATACTATTTTTTTTACACACATGCAACACATGAAAGAAGATGATTGATAGATAGATAGATAGATAGATAGATAAATAGATAGATAGATAGATACATAGATATATATATAGATACATAGATAGATAGGTAGGTCTATAGATAGACAGATAGACAGATAGATAGATAGATAGATAGATAGATAGATAGATAGATAGATAGATAGATAGATAGATAGATAGATAGATAGATAGATAAATAGATAGATAGATAGATAGAAAGATAGATATTAATGATATTTACAAAGGGGGATTTTTGATTGCAAAGTCATGATTAATGTGGGTAAATTGGCCACGTACAACAGAAAATATCATCACTTTATGTAATGCAGCCTTAAAAACCAGGGAAAGTAACATTTATGCCATGATGCCATAAACACAATTTAAGACAAGATCTAGTTTCATATCACAATATCGAAAAAATATTGATTCCCTAGACCTACTGTGGGTTTACATAACTTACACAGCATACTATAAAATCAACAAGGCCCAGAAAGTGGGTGAACTGTGGTCGAGTCTTGGAAAAATCAGTAAAGCCCCCTCACAGAAGACAGTCACATACACACACTCACCTGACACACACACACACACACACACACACACACACACACACACACACACACACACACACACACACACACACACACACACACACACACACACACACACACACACACACACACACACACACACACACACACACACACACACACACACACACACACACACACAGTTCCATCTTCTGTGAGGCTTTGGAGTGTGTTCCTCGGCTGAGTACACTGACATCAGATGCGACAGTGAGCCTCTCTCCGCAGCTGGGACTGTGGACCACATGAGACGTGTGGCTTCTTCTGTTGACACCAGGCAAGGCTGTGCAAGTCGATGAAAGCTTCTCTGTTCTAGTTCTTGTGCAGCACTGGCTGGGGAAATGAAACAACTCCAGACATCCATAGGTGAAAAAAGACTCTGTGTAGGAGTTCCTGTCCAATGCGAGTTGTTCACAATCCAAAATATATTATTTTTAGAAAAAAGAATGTCCAACACAATACAAACATCTGTATATGATATAAGCAATCCTCTTATTTTGGGTTTTGAGTTAGGATGTTTCTACACTTTTTAACTGTCTTTCAGGTGAGATACTTCAGGCAAAACATTTTTGTTTCATGCACTAGTGAAAAGAATACATCCAAAAAACACATTTAGATGTTTGTATGACTAACTTGGTTTATTTACGTCTGTAGATTTCATTCGAGATGTACCAAAAGTTAATTTTAGATGATGCATAATTTGCATATTTATGTAACAATTCAGAGAACCTTGTAATATTGTAATCAACTTGGGACGTTTCATGGTAATATCTGTCAGTGTATTTCTATCCCTTTTCCCTGTAGTGCCCTGCATAATATATCATATTTTCATGGAGTTTTTTCTCATACCCTGAGCCAGATATCTCCTCTTCACTATCACTGGCATACACCACACTTTTCCAGTTACATTCTTCCCTATATTCTGAATGTTTTTACCAAGGGTGTTTTTTCATATATCATTCATAGACTGATTTACATTAAAATGTTTGCTAAAATTATATCAAAAGGTTTTAGTTATTTTCAAATTGCGTTGAGCATTTTCTGATTTGTGGATTTATTCAGAGAGACATCTTGAATTCAATACCCTGTGAAAACCTTTGACTGTTGTACGTCATCAAAATGAAGCAATCAATTGGCTTTATGCAAGATTTAGATATCTGTTCTGGAAAAGCATGCAAATATCAGCACAAATTGTTAAGATAATGCCTCATTTGCATATTTAAACTACATTTAACAGAACACGTATTATACATATTATACATGTATTAAACGTAGTAATTAACTGTGAAAGTTTCATGATGATATCCATTTTTAAAATGTTTACCCTATTAACCTACTGTGATATATAGGCCTTATTGTCACAGAAGTATATTTTAAATGATTTAACTGACTATCATTGTCATCATTTTAGGAGTAACACCCTTAATTATCCCTTGTTTTGTTTTTAATAAGTTGGTTTGAACTCATTCCAACTTTAATTTAATAAAATACGTGGATATTATAATATTTTTTTATATTAGAAAAAGGGGTTGTGCGTTTGTTTGTTGATGTTTTGTATGGCTCTCTCTGTCCGTAGAAAACACAGGACTTTAAAACAATTATTTCCGTTTCTGTGCTTTCTTATGTCTTATGGAGTCAGTTGCTGCTAGTTAGTTAGTTTGTTGTTGTTTATAATGACAATAAATAAATAGCATTATTTGGTACACTATAAAAGTTAGCGCTGAGCTTCAGTGTGCAATGTTCAAAACAACAGATAAAGCCAGAAATCTAGGTGTAGTCATGGACTCTGACCTGAGTTTCAACAGTCACATTAAAACTGTTACTAAATCAGCCTACTATCACCTAAAGAATATATCTAGGATTAAAAGAGTAATGTCACAGCAGGATTTGGAAAAACTTGTCCATGCTTTTATCTTCAGTAGACTCGACTACTGTAATGGTGTCTTCACAGGTCTCACTAAAAAATCTATTAGAAAGCTGCAGCTGATTCAGAACGCCGCTGCTCGAGTCCTCACTAACACTAAGAAAGTGGATCACATCACTCCTGTTCTGAAGTCTTTACACTGGCTTCCTGTGTGTCAAAGAATAGATTTCAAAATACTGCTGCTAGTTTATAAAGCACTGAATGGTTTAGGCCCAAAATACATTTCTGACCTCCTGCTAAATTATGAACCATCCAGATCTCTCAGGTCTTCAGGGACTGGTCAGCTTTCTGTCCCCAGAGTCAGAACTAAACATGGAGAAGCAGCGTTCAGTTATTATGCTCCAAATATCTGGAACAAACTCCCAGAAACCTGCAGGTCCGCTGCAACTCTGACTACTTTTAAATCCAGACTAAAGACTTTTCTTTTTGTCGCTGCTTTTAATTGAACTATTCATATCTTAGACTGCACTGTAACTTTTATCCATGTACTTTTTCTTTTAATGTTTATTTTATTAGCTTTTCTTTTTAATGACTGATTTTAAATGCCATTTTCTTAATGTCTTTCATTTTTTGTAAAGCACTTTGAATTGCCTTGTGTTGAAAAGTGCTATATAAATAAACTTGCCTTGCCTTACACTGACCGTTATGTGAAAAATTGTAAGGACACAATCAAACAACAGGAGTATATCTCTATTTTTATTTGTGTATATATACACATATAAAAAATAAGGGACATATGTACAATGATAATAAATATCAACACGTTTGTACAAGTGAAATAAGTTACTTAACATATTTTAAAAACAAACATAAAAGATCATTAACAGACGAGCAAAAATGGGGCAAAATGAACTTGGGGGCGATAATAGAATAATACAAATAATAATGCGAGAAAACAGCAGAAAACGTTATTAGCAAACAAATGTGTAAGAACTGAAGAAATGCACATAAAGTACATTACACATGCATTTTTCTATCAAACTTGAGACCTGTAATTCTTAATCCTTTTAGTTCTTGCAACATGTTACATTAAATAAAATGCCTGATTGTAAAAGGGAAATATATTAAGACAAGTACCAGTGTAAGGAGCTAAAATGTTTTAGCTGTTTTGCTTTAAGGGATGTAGAAATATAAAGTGGGCACATTCTGTCACTGAGCTGCTTCAAATCAACAGATACATTTTTGGTTTTACGGTCTGGACAAATTAAATAATGGTTAAAGTTTTGGTACATTACCCGGCCCTTCATAAAGCAAGGGGTTAAGAATTTGGTTCCAGCAGATCTCTACTGATATACAAACAGGAAGCAAACAGGAAGTCCATCAGCTCAAGCTGTTTTGCCTGAGGGATAATTTAGCTGCATACAAAATATGCAGAAATGTTGTAGACGTCAGCTCAGTTTAGCAAAGTGGACGGATTTCTGAGACTTAAAGATCCAGTGTGTAGGATAAGGAGGGATCTATTGGCAGAAATGTTAAATATTTTTGTAGGAATTGTGTTTTCATTTGATAAGGATCAAGTCCTCAATGCGGAGTTAGCCGTTTTGCACCGCCATGTCTCTATAGCCCAAAACGGACAAACCAAACAGTCTCTAAAAAGGGATTTAACATTTGTTTTGAAGGGACAGCTTGAATTTGGTGACGCAAATGCACCTGAAGGCCTCCGTAAATCCACGCTTTGAAAAAGGAAGGGTACTAAATCCTACACACTGACCCTTTAAATATCAATCTGTAGTCAAATTCAATCAAAACTATTTCAACAAGAACAATAGCAACTTGGCTTATCCAAAGGTGAAGAGGCACAGAGAAAGTAAACCTGTTGAGATGCAGCCATGAATTCCTGTACAACCCTGGAACCATAAAATCTGACTTTAGTTGTTGTTTTTTTCAAGGAGAGCATTGTTGTTCCACAATATTAGTGTGTGTAAAAGTCCAAAAAAATGGCAGATCAAAATGATGCGCTTGTACACAGATGATCATATCAAAGATGTCGGGTCCACTTGCAGAGGATCATGCAACACTATGATGGAGGGCCGATGGCTGAGTGCCTCTTCGACCTCACTTTCTTTTTGATATTCTACATCTCTCTCAGCGCTCTGTACACAGTGGGGGGGAAACAACAAGGTCTTCTTGTCCCCCCCTTCCTTCATGCAGTTCTCCTCTGGTCCCGACAGACACGTCCCAAAAAAACGAAAGCCACCCCTGATGGACGAAGAGAGATTAGGTTAGAGAGGGGAAACGGGTGTATTTCAAAGTTTCCTTGAATTTAGAACAAGTAGGCTATATTATTTCATCCTCATTAAACCATGACATTCTGTGCGGATTGGAGTTAGGTCATTCAGTGTGAAACAGTGTTAACACTTCATCATACCACTCTGACTCATTGGACCTGACTTAAAAACAACAGATATAATCTCTAGCTACAGTAACATTAACAGAATATATTTATTTGTCAGTTTTGAGCAGGAGATTGGTATGAAAAGGTCCCGCACACTGTCTGAATCTTGCAAGTAGAACATTTTTATTAAACAGACATTTCAGTCCGACAAAGGTCCTTCTAAGGTCAATTTATTTTGATCCTTGTCAGATTGAAACATTTTCTCGTTTATGAAATCTTCCAGTCGCAAGATTCAGGCTTCAGGCAGTGCAGGTCCTTTTCTTATCTTTTGCCATGAAAGTAGTTTTTCTGATGCACCTGTCCCCAGGAGACTTAAAGAAAAGTGTGCAGCAAGGACAGCTTATGATGAGAAGGAGACTATGGTCAAATGGTGCAGAAAATAGGGTTTAAAATGACTGGAGTCTAACGCCATGCTATCAGCTCAGTGAGGATAAAGCTAATGATGTTGGCATTCAGATAATGCATTAAGGCAAGTCATTTCATTGTGATTTTAAAATAGGCTTTGGTAGCCATGGTAGTGTTTAATTCCATAAGGAAATGTACTGTAATAATAACACAACTTTATATCTACAGCAAGATGAGTCTTGTGCATAATATTAGTCTCTGCTCGTGGTTCAATTGGTGTTATCTTAAAGCATCAGAGGCAGAGATGATAATCTCTATTGTATCATTATTTAAATTACAGGAAATACAGATATTAGATTTCTTGTCAGGAGTTAGATTTCAGAAAAATCAGATGCATGTCTGCTAAATCTGGAGCTATAAGACGTTAGCTTAGCATATTATTTGACAACAGGGATGAATAGCTAGCCTCGTTATGTTTAGTTTGCAAAAAAACCTGCCTTTGTCTTTATAGCTCACTCATTTACATGTTCTCTACTAATCCATGCGAGAAACGGATTGCAGACTCTAATGGGGTTATATGCCGGACAACTTATTTACAGAGAGCAGTAAACTGAAGTGTTTATACATTTCGGTTTTTGTATTTAGTTACGCTTTTTTACCTAATGAGTTAAGGAGGAACAGCACAGTGTTGAGTACAAACTCATTAAATCTACGAGCCATATGCACTAAAGTATGTTATGTTCACAGTGTAGTGTATTGAGAGGGGACCATTATTCAGTACATTCACGAACAGACCAAGAAAGAGGGGCTGGACTTCTATAAGACCATTTAAAAAAAAAAAAAGTAACTTTCTCAACAACCATTCGTCTAATGTACTTTACACTTGGCAAGTACATACCGCAGAGGAAGCAGTGTCAAGTGGGAAGTTGTTTGGATGATGAACGGTATGAGTAAGCTTCAAGCGCCAATGCTAAAGGCCGAGCTATCAACCTGTTTCTAAAAAATCTAGTTTTGAATGGGCTTGTAAGATAGAGTTATTTTATTAGAGTTATATCTTATTATTCTAAGATAGAGTTATTTTCTGTTTGACTTTGTCGATAAATGTTCGTACCATCACTTTCACACTTGGCCCCAAGGAAGTGTAGTGTCGAGTGTGAAGTTGTTTGGATTAGCAATTCTCGAGAAAGCAGCAATACAGAAACAGGCCGAACAACGGGGTCTACACTGGTAAACAAAATGGTTCTTAACACTACACTGAGCAGCCGAAAAGCAACATTGGAAATCGTTAAAGGTTAGGACTTTGCTTAAATCTGTTTGCATGAATTTAATTAAGTGGAACAATACCTTTCTCTGGTTCACGGCCGCTTTCCTGCCTGGAGCCAGGAGTTTGGCAGCACGGCAGCAATCAGTCTGTCTGTCAGTCCATCCTTCCATCAGCACTGTGTGTGTGTGTGTGTGTGTGTGTGTGTGTGTGTGTGTGTGTGTGTGTGTTTTCTGTTTATGTTGGTGTGTTTTAGTCCACAGTAGCCCAGGTCAGTCTCTGGGCATCGGTATGAGGGGGAAGGGGTTTCATGGGGCTTTAAGGATGCATCACAAACACACTGTGGTCAAGGATGGTTGGCATTCAAAGGACTAACAAGTGTGTAAGTGTGTGTGTGTGGGGTATTTTCCTTCTTGGCAGTGCACATTACCGCCCTCACCATACACTAAGATATAAAGCACTTATAGAGACATCCACAGCGGTCGCAACAGTGAGGGTTCATCTACATTCTCCATGCCTAATGTCTTCACGTCAGCTTCAATTTGGAATTAAGTGTGCAGTTATGTTCCGCCGCTAAGAGCTGAAAGCAAATAACCTTTTCTTTCTGCGGAGATAAAGAATCGTCCTATAAAAGGGCTCAGCCAAAACACATATCTGTTACACACTCTGACTCTAATAAATGTCGTACGGAGTGCACTTGTAGTGTATTGGACTTGAAGGTGCGTTTTGAAGGTCACCGCTGAGCGAGGAATGTGCCCTCACATTGTCATTCACAGAGGGGATCCATTAGTCTCCTAATAACCGTTTGAACACGGCTGTAGTCGTGTAAGACGTATAAAAAGGAACAACAAGAAATGTCTTAATTCAAACCAACCATCACGACAAATGAAAGTGGAAGGGATCAAGGACTTTCTAAATACAACTTGGGAGAAAAAAAATTACAAATTGAGCAGAGAAAGTGTTGAGACTGTCCTTCATTCAAACCCCCCCTTGTGTCTTTCTCTCCAATTCACTTCATTTTCCATTTCATTTCCTCTCTCTTTGTCTCTGGCTCTCTCTCCTCTCTGTCCCTCGCAGAGCGCCTGCTATGGGACGTGATTGTCGTCTTGCTTCGAGATTAATTAGTCTTTTTTATACCGCTCTCACACTCTTGGCTCACTAATACAAAAAGGGAAGACATGCTTCCAGTTTTTAAGCACAGTAAGCTGAAAGAAAGTCTCAAAGGACCAGAAGGACACAGAATCAGTTCAATATTTTCCAGTCAGTTGCACTTGTCATTCATCAACCGGTTTCAGCACAGAGCCTCTTGGTCCACTCAACGTCAATTAAACGTGCCCTTCAGAACACATGTAACGCCATTTGTTAGATTTTCCATGCTCGAGGTGTGCTCCTCTGTGTTCAGCCTTTTTTTTTTTAAATACACAATTTACACAGGTGGCGACGGCACAGTGGAAGCAGGAAAAAGCCACAACCATGACTGCCTGGAACACGATAATTATAGGAGTGCATGTTGGCGAACACAGTGTATGAGAGTGTATTTTGAACATGCTGTGTGCTATAAATGTCAACAGTGAGCCAAACAGGCATTGGCGGAGCGAATGACAGCGTGTCACTGAAAGAGAGAGAGAGCAGGCGTCCTCAGGAGGAGGGAGGTAGGTTGGTTGTTTTGTTTTTCCAACTCGGGGAAACGGAGGAGGGACACGTCTAGACGGAGGACTCCTCGGGGTTGGCGTCGGGCAGAACGCTCCTCTGCTGCAGCGTGCGTCTCAGCTCCTCCTTGAAGGGGCTCGAGTAATCATTCCCGCTCAGGCCCAGACCCCCCAGCCCGCCGCCCCCAGCGCCAGCCCCGCTAGCCCTCTCCTCCCCTGCTGTGCTCAGGTTGAGGCGGATGTAGCCATTGCTACCCGAACCTCTAATGTTGGTGAGGCTGAGACGGCTCGGGGAGTGGATGGGCTGGCCGGGGATGGCGCTCGGTGACGCCGTGCTGCTCAAGCTGCTGGGCCCTAGGGCATGGCCGGGAACGATCTTCAGCGAGCCGTCCGAGTAGTAGTAGTTGGCGCCCGTCTCCCAGAAGCGGTCCTCGTCAGTGGGCATCTTGCTGGGCACAAACGTTGGCGGCTCTTTAGGGAGGGTGATGGGGTAAACCAAGGTGCTCTCAAGGGGCTTCATGTCGGCTCCTTTCCCCAGAGCGAGCTTCAGCCTCCTGCGCAGGTACAGAGCTGCGACGAGGAGCAGCAGGCACGCCGCTCCGAGGGTGATGACCAGCACCCAGAAGAGCCCCATGCTGCTGTCTGGAGCACGGGCCTCCATGAACACAGGAGGGCTGGCCACCACGGCCACCTGGTAGCGCTCCGTCTGAAACTTCACCCCCTGCTCCTCAGAGTAGCAGATGTAGCGTCCCGCCTGCATCTGCCCCGCTGCGGGGACCACGAGGGCCTTCAGAGTGCGGTCGAAGTGTGGCCCTCCTGCTTCAGGGTCACCGAGCTGGAGCTCCCGGTCGTTCAGGAGCCAGAAGGGCTGAGCCAGGTTGGAGACCAGCTGGCACGGCAGCACCATGTCCGACCCCACCACAACTGTGATGTTCTTCAGGCGGGAGTGCTCTGCAGAAGGAGGAGGAGAGTGGGTGTAAGAGGTGGTTAAGGGTCATCCATATCATTGACATTTTACTGCAGCTCCCTTCTGCTTGATTCAATTTATTTAACTTAATCCAAATGTATTCATTCAGTTCAGCTGCTCCTGCACTGGCAGTCTATTCCCACAAGGTGCCACTACTGAGGTGGAGCCCCCTACTCACCGGGGCTCGGGATGGAGACAGGCTTATCAAACTTGGGTTTCCCCCGGCTGAACCTTTCCAGCATGAGGTCCTGAGACAGGGAGGAGGTGGAGCTGGAGAGGAAAGGGCACAAAGCAGAACAGAAGATTAGTAATGTTCCCACTGAGTGCTACAGAAACAAACAACAAAACAATCAGAATCTACAGAGAACACAGCGAAACAAGCTTTTGCAAGATAATACAAGCTATAAATGAGCCTCAAATGTCAGAATACAGTATTAGCCTTTTGTTACATCATAGACATTGACCACAGCTTGATGATATAGTTACATTTGTTCAATAATGGAATTCACAGCATGTAATTCAGGAGGATGTTACTCAAAAAGCTTCAGGGGGAAATTCTGCAATACCCTGCAATAAAAGCTGTTTATTTCCAGCTGAATAACTTCCATTAGTATGGTGTCAGTACATAATATCTGAATACTGCTTCAGGGGCTTTTAAGAAATATCAATACTAAGCCTATAATGTTATTTATATGTGGGTTAGAGTATGAATGCATGGGGTCTGGGCTCACCCGCGGTGGAGGTCGATGCGGACGCAGGCGCGGCCCTCGCTGTCCCAGGCGCAGTAGGGGTCTCGGGCCAGCAGGCAGTCTGGCTGGGACTGATAGCGGCTGCAGTTGGCCAAGGGCAGCTGGAGAACCTCCGAACGAGAGCCGATGTACAAGTACTTCTACACACAGAACGCAGAGAGAAGGAGACGAAGAACAGATCCAGCCATCGCCCAGAGAGAGATGGAAAAAGAGAGAAAGATAAACAGAGAGGGACTCAGTTATAGGAGATAATGGGATAATCACTCTCAATTACAATAACATTCACCCCCCTGACCCTCTTCAAATCCAATCTGGATTGCGCTCTTTTTGCAAAAGCTGTTATGAAATGTCTGGTCGCGGCTTAGCCAGCTTTAATGAGATAAGCAGTGGGCTTTGGGGCAGGGGACGCCCCGTCAAAAAACAAGCATCGATCGGTGGACACGGCCCGTGTCAACACACAGGCTCCGGTGACAGGACAGGGACTCTGAGAAAACAACCGGGGCAGAGGTTCAACTCCCCGCGGAGGTGAAGGACTGTAATTACTGTTATTGTGAAGAGGGTTTTGTATTCATGAGGCGACGCTCAATCTGGAGAATAGCAGTGTTTAAAACGTGATAACACCATTTTCGGAGTGGCAGCAGGCCAGTGTCAGTAGATCGGAGATTGTAAGTGCCTGGCAAAAAGGGTTGTAACGGACCAGCAGAGAATAGATAATGTAGATGTTTTTTAGATTCGACTATAGATGGTTAGAAGGTGCTCTGTGCTTAACACAAGCTAGCAAGACATTTACGTTCCGTGCAACAACATAAACAACGTCAGTAAATGCCCCCACTAACGAGTATCTGATGCTTTTATGTGTCTTAAAAACTGTGGTTGCTAACAAGTGACCAAATAACACTGATAAACATCATCACATCGAAAACTAGCCGCCTTCAGCTTAGCGGTTGTGAAGTCATGTGACCGTGATACAGTTTTGTTTATAGCCTTACTTCTGGTGATTGCATTTATATTTCCATATTAACTATTATAACTATTAGAAAGTCCACAAGTGGATATGTGGAGATTATCTTGCTGAACAAAACATTTAAAGATCATAAATGTGTGTTTGCCTCAGATCTTGTTTTATGGAATATACCAACACCCAGTGCCCCACTCGATTGTTGTTGCAAAGAGTTAGGAAAACGGAGACGTCAAAATGCTCCTTAGCGTCTACCCAGATAGTGCTGAGTATTTTAACATGTGTAGGAATAGATGTTGAGATATGGACAATATATTCTGTAAGGTATAGTACATTACGTTATAAAGCAGAAGTCATACTGTGATCATTGAATATCAATGAAGACGCTATGCAACAGAGAAAGAAGGAAAGCTAAAGGAAAACCAAAACTCTTCCTTCAAGTCGATCAGAGGAAGTGCAAAAACAACAAAGACACTTTGAGGTGCTTTTCCCCTGAAAGAGCATTAAGGTTTCTTATCATACATAAAACAGTACATCAAGCAGATGGCTTTAGGCTACTATACTGAGTTAGAACAGCTGGAAGCTCAAACCTTCAAATGATGAAGGGTTCTCAGACTTAAGGCAGCTCCTCCAGAGCTACAAAGGCATTTTACATCCTTACTCATGCACTGGCTTTAGCAAGGGCGGTTCTAGGGGGGACCAGGGGAGGCCAGTGCCCCCCTAACACTGACCTCTGACCCCCCAGTCAAATTGGTCTAGAACCGCCACTGGGCTTTAGCATTAACCGTTTGGTGCATGTGTACAAATGGGAATTATTTCGTACTTATTATTGTCATCACTGGCTGCTAGTGAATTACTGATAATGATCCCTTACTGTTTAGATAGTGTGTGTGCCAGCGGCTGTTATTAATAAAACACATCCTTTATGAAACATTAGCTTGAGTCTTTTAAAATAGATATCTTTACTGTTTATTTGTACTGGCTGCTGGTTCACATACTTTTTTATGTTCACTTACTTTTACAAGGCTTCTACTTATTTACTATGGTAGTGTACTTTTGAATTTATTTCATTAACGTCTGCTTTGCTCTTTATTTCAGATGACTTTATGCTGCACTGATCCTTAGCGGGTAAAACTGTACATTTTCCCCTGAGACAAATAAAGGAATTCAGATTCTAATTAAAACTCTTTAAGCTGTTTGGATACTGTGAATGAAACAGTATGTTATTAATAACACACATCCTGCACGTCATATTGGACTTTAGTTAAGTTAAACACGTTTTTTTGTTTTGACTGTTTAATATTATTGATTGGCTGCTAGTTTACTCACTTTAATATTGCTGCTACTTATTGTGACCATGGTTGATTTTATTACACATGTGTTTGCGTCTTTATTAATACATTTGCCTACTTATTTAATGTTTTATTTTATCTGCACTGTCCCTTAGCTGTTGTAACACTTTAAGCGTCCCCTCTGTGAGACCAATAAAGGACGTCTGATTCTGAATTGCAATGGAAATTAAAACCCGTTTAAATATAGCTCTAGATTATTACATTTCTGATTCTGAATTCCCGTTGAATAACCTCACGTCACCAATTCCCCGTGCTCTTACCTTTGAGTGTGAGATGGTGAGGCTGTCCACGGGCTGCGGGGTCTCGAACAGCTGGATCTCCTCGATGACGTGCGCCTCGTTGCCCAGGACCACCACCCTCTGCAGCCAGCCCTCCGCTGCAGCCAAGAGAGAAGCAGGAAACAAGATTTAGCTCTGTTGTGTTTGGAAAATACTGAATGTCCTCTTCCAATATGAGAGCACACATGATAACAAAGGTATCCCAACTGTAGCTGTGAACATGACAGGATGCTTGATTACCTAGAAGAGCGTCAGGACTGTTTTAGGCATATGATAGCTATGTGATGAACATGATGATTCAGCCTCTATGGAGAGAGACATATGACAAGCATGCTCATTTCTGACGTGGAGCTAATCTGAACTAAACATTGAATACTGCTTTCTATTCCTCCATCTTGTGACTGTGTAACTCCCTCTCTTGGATATCAGCATGTGAAGGACACTGTTCAGGAACTAGTTGATGCTCTGTATGTGATGACTACTTCCATTCTGGAGAGGATCACAAATACATGGATCCTGAGATTGAAGCTCAAGCCGGTGACCAGTGATATTTTTCTAACAAGCTCACAACACTTTCAAACTTTCAATTCAACATCACTGAAGACTTTCTTTTTAACCTCAAGGCGATTTTTCCTCTAATCAAATAGATGGCTTAAGCGCTCTTGGTTAAGTCTCGAAAACACACCTTTGACAGCTCATTTAAACCTCCTTTATATGATATTAACATATACGTACACACACCTGTGATGCACACCGGTTCATTTGAATAATACCTATCTGAATGAATACATTCGCATCTGCACCTGTGGCTGCATACCACTCAATTTAAATACGAATGCCCTGCAAACAAACAACACCTGTGACTGCACCGTATTTTACTTCAATATTAATGATGCAAACAAACACACACCTGTGATTGCCTTGTTCATTTAAATATTAATGGTGAGACATTATAATGTATACATACATGTCTTTGATGCCATAATGATGGATTAAAATATTGAAACACAAGCTGAAAAACATCAGAATGATAATTACATGTGTCACATCTGTTATAATATTGACATGTTCCTCTCTCCACAGGAGAAGTATGCTTGTGGTTACATCAGTGGTTCTCAAACTTTTTTCAATAATATACCCACTTTAAAATACTTTTTCAACTACGGAATATACAGCCCTGCGTCATCAGAGTCTGAAGTCATTTGAGTATTATTATTATTGTAGGACTTTGAGCGCTTTATTAACAGTCATGTACACTAAAATACTCCAAATGACACGTAGGCAGACCCCAATATAGAAACACTATGCTGCGCTTCCATTACAGTTTAGGAACTGGGGTAGTTACTATAGTAACGCAGTGTAGGCGGAGCCGTGACGTCATCTTCAACGAGAGCCCCAGAAAAACAACACAGCCGTTAGCTCTTAGCACTCAGAGCTCACAGCTCCTCATATCTGTTCAGAAACTAGACAAAAGTTAAACAAGTACAAACCACAGACTGCCTGTGTCATGGCGAATACAGTCGCTGGTTTATTTATGTCTGTATAGGCCGTTGTTGTGAGTGTGGACGGTCGGAGCATATATAACGTTAGCTTAGCCAAGCAAGCATTTTAAAAGGGTTTTTCGCCTGCCGTCTGTCTGCAGACTTGTCAAAGCATTAATTCATGGTTTTTACTAACCGGTATCAGTATGTTGTTACTTCGGCATCATTTGTAAACGTGTATTACAATTAAATCACGGTCAAATATGTTCATCTTGTTGTAGTTGTAGCCCCCTTGCCAGCGATTCTCTCTCTAGTTTAGCATACTCAGAGAACCACGATTTAGTCGGGCCAGAAAAACGGTGAAAAAGTAACCCCGGGCCAAATTTAGGCCAAGTGGAAACGCAACCAAAAACGGGCCCCGCACGGCTCGGCACGCTTAAAGCGAGCTACCCGCTGCAGTGGAAACGCGCCATAACTACTCCAGTTCCTAAACTGTAATGGAAGCGCAGCATTTTGGCACGTTTCCACTGCAGGCCTCGCTCGGTTTGGTTAGGCCTTATTAGGCCCGGCTCACTTTAATGCTGCGCTTCCATTACAGTTTAGGAACTGGGGCAGTTACTATAGTAACGCAGTGTAGGCGGAGTCGTGACGTCATCTTCAAATGAGAGCCCCAGAAAAACAACACAGCCGTTAGCTCTTAGCACTCAGAGCTCACAGCTCCTCATATCTGTTCAGAAACTAGACAAAAGTGAAACAAGTACAAACCACAGACTGCCTGTGTCATGGCGAATACGGTCGCTGGTTTATTTATGTCTGTATAGGCCGTTGTTGTGAGTGTGGACGGTCGGAGCATATATAACGTTAGCTTAGCCAAGCTACATTTAGAAAACACGCAGCCTTAATTCATGGTTTTTACTAACCGGTATCAGTATGTTGTTACTTCGGCATCATTTTGAAACGTGTATTACAATTAAATCACAGTCAAATATGTTCATCTTGTTGTAGTTGTAGCCCCCTTGCCAGCGATTCTCTCTCTAGTTTAGCATACTCAGCCCGACTCAGCCTGGTTGTTCCTGTCCTAGAACCACGATTTAGTCGGGCCAGAAAAAAGGTGAAAAAGTAGCCGGGCCAAAACTAGTGGAAACGCAACCAAAAACGGGCCCCGCACGGCTCGGCACGCTTAAAGCGAGCTACCCGCTGCAGTGGCCTAATAAGGCCTAACCAAACCGAGCGAGGCCTGCAGTGGAAACGCGCCATAACATACATGATAACAAATGCACACAGCTGCAGTGTTATCCGGTTGTCGGCAACTTTAATCAACTTCAATTTGTGAAACTTTAAGGCCCGATGGACTCAAATGTCATGCTTCTCAGCAACTGAGAAACACAGAAAATGGGAAAGAAAAACAACTTCTGCTGCCAGCGCCGAGTCCATCCCAGCCAGAGAGCATCGGAAGGTGAATTTAAAAGAGTCGGGATGCTGTTCTTGGCCTTGAGACATTTATTTTGAAACTTTTTTGCAGTGTGGGGAGCTGACGCTGGAGGAGGAAGAGGAGATCCTGAGCTCCTTTCATGTAGGGCATTGTGAGCAAGTCTATATCCCCTGTGAGGAAAGGCGTTTTAGGCACAGCTGCTGGGGTGACCTTGATGTTAGTGTGTGTGTGTGTGGGTGTGTGAGTGAGGTTGGAATAGTGTTACGTGCTGACATGTGCTTTCTTGTGCGGCCCTCTCGATTAAAACACTGTCACAGATAAGATGAAAAGTGAACCTAGTAGCCTATGGGAGGGAAATAGCTTCAAACACAGCCACACACACACACACACACACACAGCCAGCCACCCACACACACACAACACACACCACACACACACACACACACACACACACACACACACACACACACACACACACACACACACACACACACACACACACACACACACACACACACACACACACGTCATGCAGTCATAGCGAGCAGCAGGCATATCATAACATTCTCCTCTCGTGGAGTCAGGGACCGGTGTCATTTAATCCCTCAATCCTGAGACTTGGTTTCTCTGAAAACAGTTTTGACAAGCTCCTTCTCCCTGGCTCTCTTTCTCGCTCTCTTTTTCAATTCAGCTGTCGCTTTTCTGCAGCTAATAGCTAATCAAGCCCGCAGCCCAATTGGCACCAGGAGCGCCCGTCCGCCAAGGGGCCCCGTTGAGTTTGTGCCGCGAAGCACGACAAGCGGGGATGACTGCACTTGGCTCAGGAAGTGTGAGCGTGTGTGTATCTCGGTGTGTTTGTGTATATCAATTTGTGAGAGCGTGTCACAAATGTGTGTGTGTGCGTGTGTGTGTGAGTCCGGGGTTGGCCTCCCCGCCTGCCAGCAGAGGAGTCCGCTGTTGTGGCGCTGTCAGTGTTGAAGCTGCAGTGATCTGAATGCTAAGCAGACGAGCCTCTCTACATTCATGAGGCGAGATGCATTCAAATCCACTGCGAGATGCGTGTTATTCAGGATTACGGCTGATTTCAGATCTGTGCCAGAACACAGGACACCTGCATATGGGCCTGGTGGCTACTGACTGCAGATATTAATTAAGTTGTGCATACGTGGACGTTTCCTTTGATGCATGAAGACGGATCTCAGCATGCAAATCAAGTCGTTAATTGAAACCCAGCTGAAGTGCGGCCAGATGGCATGTTGTTTTGTTCCACCGTACCTAATGCCAGTACCTGTCCCTGTCTGAGACCTGCTCGCTGAATCTACCCTACAAATAGGCTACTGTGTGCAGCCCCCTCCTAACACACACACCACACACAACCACACACACACAACACACACACACACACAACACCACACACACACACACACACACATCAAACACACACACACACACACACAAGCACACACACACACACAACACACACACACACACACACACAACACACACAACACACACACACACACACACACACACACAACACACACACACACACACACACACACACACACACACACACACACACACACACACACACACACTTGCAGTAGGGGAATAAGAATATGAATATCAAGAGTAAAGGAGCTGGGGAAAGTCCCAGGAACACCATGTACTGTATAATCCAAGATACATGAATATAAAATAGAAGAGAAAGAACAAAATATAGTATTTAATAATCATTTATTGTATATTTCTTCAGTTTAATATATTTTTGTTGCCATATTTTACTAGATTTATTTTATTTTTTATTATTATGCGTCTTTGTTTTTGATAAATTTGCTTTTACTCTAATTTGTGTATTATATTATGTGCCACTTCACCAAAGCATATGTGAAAACCTGCTATGCCATAAACAGGAATCCTAATGTTCTTGACCTGCATTAAACTGTAGGAGGCTTCTGTCATTTTAACCCCAAAAAACTAGATGTTTTATTAGAAAAATGCCAAACATTCCCTGCCAAATTAAAGTGTGCTCACCTATCTCAAAAACTGTTTAAAATATCTCCTCGTGGATTGGACATCTTAATCTGATCCACTTAAATAAGTTAAGGCCTCAGCTGAAGTAAGGCGCTGGAAGCATTTCACATTTTAAAGTCAAAGCCCTGAAGGCACCTGAATTGTCAGTTATTAGTATGAAAGCTCTGAAAACAATTGTCAGCTGAACTCCAAATGATAAAAGTGACTCAAATTGCCGTTGAAGTTGAAGCCCCGTAGAGAGTTTAAGTGTGAGCACTGTAGATATCTGAGGTGTCAGCGTGTGTTAAAGCAGGTAAAATGACAGGTGAAGAGTACGTGCTGAACGCAGGGAGATGTCAGTTCAAAGGAGGGAGGAGACACTTAAAATGATTTACAGGAACACTATCGACTGAGCCCAGTGCCTGTCATTTCAACTTCATCTGCCAAAAGTATACCTGTACTTTACTTTTTTTACAGTCCAAGATTTACTTTGTTTTGTAAAAATGTAACTTTCTTTTTTTAACTGATCCTGTATATTACTTTTTCAATTAATGTTATGTTATATTTTATTATTTTATACAATTTGAAAATGATATGACATTTTGAAAAGAGCCATTGTGCATCGATACATTAAGCTCCAACCTTTGTACTTCAACTTAAGTAACATTTCAAATAACATTGCCATCCCTTTTCTGTGTAAAGGTCATGTTTGTGCATGATAGTATTTGTACTGTATATACTACGAGTATATTAGATATTCTGCTTCTATCATTCAAAAAGTTTGACCTTTTGGTAAAGTAAGAGATTATTCACATCAGATGTACCAGTGAACATGCTGGCGACATTTAGACTGGAAATGAATGCTGATACTTTCTTTTTCGAACCAGTTAAAATTATTAAAAGAGAGAAGAAATTCTGCACAAAAAATCCTTATCAAAGCTTAAGATAAATAATTTTTAAGTTGCAAACAGGTGAATGTTATGGATGTTCTTAAACACCTGAACTAAGAACATCCATAACATGGCATACTTACAAATGATGTATCACTTGTATATAGACTCTTATGGCACTACTTCTTGGCACTATTTTATCTGTTTTATTTGCACTGTTAGAGGAGCCTGTGACCTTAGATTTTCATCGACATAACTAGCTATGTACGGATGACAATAAAAGCCTTGAATGAATCTTGAATCCTCCGCTGTGCGCACCTGTGCCGATGAACAGCATGTTGTAGGCCCGCTGGTCCAGGCTGCTGACCCGGTCCACCACCAGCCGGGTGAAGTTGACCCCCTTGGTGAGCAGCAGGGGGCGAGCCAGAGCTTTGTCCTCCATCAGCGGGTGCTTCTTGGCGAAGTTGAGCGTGGCATCAGGCAGCTGCAGGGAGCTGTTGTAGCCGTTCTCTCTGTCGGAGTTAGTTATACACTGCAGCACGGAGGGAGGGAGGAAGGAGGGAGGAAACGAACACGGGGGGAAAGGAGGAAGGAGAGGAAGAAGGAGGGCCAAGAAGGAGAAAAAGTTAGAGGAGGAAACTTCTTCACACGTTGGCATGGCTAGTTGGCTTTGATTTGATTCCCTCCTTTTTTTCACGCCTCTTCTCCGTCTTTCACTCTGGCTTTCACCTCCGCCCGCCATCACACCCCTTCCTCCTTTCCTTTCTTTTCGTCCTGGATCATTACTTCTTAGCTTTCGTGTCCTGCCAGCTCATTTCCACTTACATCGCTACAGCACCCCATGCCATTCATTTCCACTTCCCTCCCTCCCTCCCTCTTTCTTTATTCCTTCTCTGCACACTTATCTCCGCTTACGTGTTTCAGATGCACAAAACCCTACATGTGTCAAAAATGACTTTCCTTTCATGCTTCCTAAAGTTGCCAGGAAACATTTGCAATTACCAAACATCATATAAAGTTTAAATAAACAGCTGGAAATAAGGAATTTACGTATATTAAAATATCAAAAGAAATGTTTTGATGGTTTAATTATATTTAATTATTCCAATTTAATCTATTTATTTTTTCATATTCTCTTAAAATTACCTGCTATTTTATTTTCCACTATTCAACGTTCTGGGAAAATGTAATTTGACTTGAATCAACATTTGTATTTTCATATATGTATTGGTTTATATTGCATGTTTTGTACGATATTTAATTACATTTATTTTAGAAAATAAATAAATATATTATTTCTTACCGCTCCAGGCCGTGGGACAGGGACCGCCCCGGTGTAGCGCCCCCACCTCTGAGACGGCTCCCTGTACTCTTTGTAGGATCCTTCAAAAACCTTCTTCACATCGCTGATCTGGTACTGGCACACCGCCGACACGTCCACGTCACCCCTGAAACATGGCGGCAAGGAGGGGAATTAGTGACGTGTGGCGGGAGAAACGGAAAGATGGATCACCTGTCATCCGCTTGTAGATAAATGTGACTTCTAGCTTCTGAATGTGGCACAATAACATGAGAGAATATGAGATATAACAACCAGAAAGTAATATCAGTTGCATGTTAAAAGCATGAAGTCATTTGCATGTTTACAATAAAAGCTATCGAGGTGAACATGTCTGTGTCTTATTGAGTGACTGAAAATGATTAGATGTGTTGCCACCTCTCCACCCTTTCCACGGTGCATCAAGCTGCAAATTGATGCATCTGAAATACATTTCCTTGATAGACCACTGACATTAATCAGCTGTTGCTGTGACGCCGCCACACAGGAATAGCATTTAATTTAACGTTTCATTTTTGGTAAGGTCGGGGGTATGGGATCTCAATTTTCTTTCCCAATCCAATTTTGGACCACAAAATGGTTTGGAATTGGTTATTTATGCATGACCCAGACACATAAAGTCATACTTGTAATCCTCATCTCACAAATATATTTCAATTTAATTCACATCTATTTTTAGACTGAGAGAAGGAGTCACTTCCACTGTAAAATGTACATGTTGTGCCCCTTTAAAGGGGCCTTATTATGTAAATATGTATTGTATTTTGTTCCTCTACTATGACATGTCTCCATGCTTTAATGTTCATAAAGCTCTTTATTCTTCTCATACTGCCTGTGCTGCAGCACCTCTTTTCACCCTCTGTCTGAAACCAGAGCCCAGTCTGCTCTGATTGGTTAGCTGGCCGGCTCTGTTGTGATTGGTCACGTGCAATTTGTTGGAGCCCTAGCCAATAGAAGCGTGAGTGTTACATAGTGCAGTTACTATGATCCGTAAGTAAACAAAGGAGGACATTGGTGGAACTCCTTTGGATGGAACTTCATGATTTTAGCCTTTGCAAACTATTTACATGCACACAAACATATACAACACACTACAGGAAAAGGAAAACCTCAAAAAGTACAATAGGGCCTCTTTAAGGGAAGTGCTATTTCCATCTGGAGCAGAGCTGTTAAGGTGCAGCAGTGCTACAGGCTTTAAAAGGTGAGCGGCAAAACCAAAGGACAGCACTGATGTCTTGGCTTGTTAAAAAGCCCCCTCAGTCAGTCTGATTGTGGCATGAACTCCGAGTCATCATTTACATAATGTCCAATTATCTTAATGTTATCTCCATCAAAGCCATGGGGCTTTAAGTCACACAGAGGAAGAGGCTTCTTTTTTTCTGACAGCAGCAGAAGGAGCTCTGAATGGAGAAACAAAGCTTGAAGTTCAAAGCGCGTTCACTTGATGATATGATATCTTATTGAGGAACACGAAAGAGTCACATCAAAGGGCTTTACTCGCAGAACAACTCCGACTTTCCTCCCAAAGCAAACCTCCTGCCCTGCCTCCCACTGCTTTGGTGATAAGTAACTCATTAACACATAACAGTTGTGTCGTGGTCCAGTCTTTAGTCCACTAATAATCCCACAGTCACAAGTTTCTTTGTCATCAGCATTTTAATCTCCAGATTGTACTTTAATTATCCCTTTAAGTAAGTTTTCCCTTCAGAATAAAAGTTGATCTGGTCCTTAATGTTTTATCAAGCTTTAAACAGACGACATCAAAAGATTCTCTTAAGAAGAAACATGTCAGAAAGGTTGATTTGGTCCTAAAGTGAAGTTTTATCAAGCTATAAATGTTTAAACGTATAAAGTTTTTTTCTGATCCCTATCACAAAATGTTCAAGAGATGTGATTTTTGCAGCTATATCCACAAAAAGTGACACATCACAGTTCCTAAATATACTATATATGTTTTTATTTGATGTAATATTTGTAATTGTAAACCAGAGTGACAAAGACCGCATTGGGATGAGATCATTGTGTTTGGGTGGTTTGGAAAACACCAGACTTTCACACATGTGACCAACTTTGATTTATTTTGTACTTATTATTGCCATTTACACCTAAATCCGTGCCGAAAGCCCCGTCCACACGGAGACGATATCAGTTGAATCCGCTAACGTTCTCTATCGTATAGACGGTTCGTCCACACGAAGCCGACACGGAAACGTGTGGACGGAAGACTTTTTTGATATCGAATTCGGTTCGTTTTCGTCTCCGTGTGGACGGGGCCTAAGTAACGGCTCTTCCATATTTTTTTTACGGAAGCGTTTACTAAATTGTAACGTAACTTTCGTTCTTTAGTAACGCAACGTCTGTAGCAGACACAAAACCAAATAACAACCTTTTCCATACGTTTATTAAGACCGAATGTATTGAGCTGAAAATGGACACCTGTTGATGGACATTTAAACGAAATGCACGAGAAACAAGGAATGAGATATTATAAGGTTTCAGAAAAACCATTGCATTAGGATCAAATGTTGTAATAGTAAGGTATTAAGTATAATGTGATTCAACCAATGTGTCAATCATCGGTTTATTGAACTAATTAAATTAGCCTGATTCTATTTAGCAAAAGGGTTCACTATATTCAGCCAAAAACATGAAGTCAATGTGACGTTAAATCACTAATAAAACCCATAAAACATGTTCAAGCCCACTTGAGCTGTATCCACTCGTAGGGCTATTACACTAAAAGCCCAATTACACAGTAAACACCTTATCCCTAGTGCATAATTAGAGCCATCATATCAGAGTGACTGCTGGCTGACCCAGGATTTAAATAAAAAGCAGAGTATCTGACATGTTGGGAAGTGATATGTCTCGTGATATGTCTCGCTCTGACAGCAGACGGTACATGTAGTAATTAACCGAGATTTTTCAGACGATGAGACTGAAATGGAGCTATTTTTTCAGCCTGTATTTCTCGGCTCTGACTCACCACTGGGCGTGGAAGATGCCGTAGAAGGTGGTGCCCCTCCAGTCCTGGCCGGGCAGCGTGAACACCGCCCTCAGGTTGTTGAAGGAGACGTGGCGTTCGGGGAGGGAGCACTCCAGACGGGCTTTCTGGAAGGTGGTCCACTTCTTCTGCAGAGTCCTGGTACCACCCAGATCCCCCTGAGAGAGGACAGGATCACATCTCATCAACGGCTGAAACAGGTCCTTTAAATGTCCCCTATTATACTGTTTTATATCAATATATTATAGGTCTCAGATATATACAGAACATGTCTCTGTTTGGCTCCAAACACCAAACAGATCATTGCAGCATTACCCATAATCCCCTCTGTTTCAGCCCTGTTTCAAAAGAGCTGATTCTCTGTCTGTTACTTTAGATGAAAATAAGGAGCCCCTCCCCACGCCCCTCTGAGAGACATTTGGTTAAAAAGAACACAATGGTGCTCTTGCAGGAGATTCAGGTGATAAGGTGGGGGGGGGGGGTTACCTTGCTTGGTGATTGGCTAATGGTTACACAAGACAAAACATCGTTATGACATCATAAAGTAGCCAAAATCTGATCAGCTCATTTTCAGACAGGTTTTTATAGGAATGGATCAGGACAAAAAGAGAGAGAGTCTTTGTTCCTGAAACTTTCAGAATCTCTTTACACAGAGGAGACACATGTTGATGTAGAAGAGACATGAAGAAGAGGGGACACATGTTGATGTAGAAGAGACATGAACAAGTGGATTTTGCACAATAGGTGACCTTTAAATGTACATTCTTTGGGAGTAGAGGTGTAAAGAGATCCGTGTTAATATCAGGGGAGAAAAAAGTCTAAACATCTTCTGTTGCAGAATAAAAACCTGACCTGTTTTGTTTGAAAGTTGCGTTTATTTAAAGCTCATGTACTTCTCATGCTGTTTTGAGTTTGTATCCTCATGATTGAATGCACTTGAGAAATGTTACTTGCATAATTAAAGGTTACTTTCACTTCTAAAATTCTATGTTGGCCACTTTTCATTCGCTTAAAGTTTAATTTTAAATACAGACTAATTCAGCAACGGCAACGTTTATTTCCAAACTGACTTTATCCTTGCAGACCATTTACATGCAGAAAACCTATATAACACACCAAAAAGCATAATAGGGCCCGTTTAATGAGCCACCATGTCAGTTGTTTTGAAATCTGTGGTCAGACAGCTCAAGATTGAATGTTTTCGTCCAATCAGGTGCCATACCAATTAAGCGTCCAATGCGAGTTGACCCTGTGAACAAGTACTCTTAGAGCTGACAGCCCACCGCTCACTTTCTCGCTTTGTTATGCTGCTTATGTTGCATTTCATTAGCCTCACCTTCACCTTGTGGATGCTAAACCTCACCTCTGTGCATACACGGTAGTATTCTGTATCTACATAATGATGAACCTGTTACACGTGAATCAGCTGACTGAGCATTTGTCATGTTGCAAAAAACCTCTAAAGGAGCATTTCGACCCCGATATGTTCAAGGGTGCCATTCAAGAGCAGGATGACAATAATAATAATAATGATATTCAATTATACGGGAAACATTGAGTTTTGATGGGTGGTCCCTTTATAAGGTTTACTGCCGGCTCAAAAGAGGCCTGTCTGCCAGATAGATAGATAGGGTGGCGCAGTGGTCTGTGCATCCGATCATCAGATCAAGGGGGAGTGCTGGGGAACTCCAGTTCGAAACCCGCTCCTGCCGCCACTGCGTCAGGCCGTTGTGTCCTTGGGCAAGACACTTCACCCGGATTTGCTCCTGTGGGTATTGTCCACAGTACATGTATAATACCAATGTGTACTTGTAAAAGCGCCTTGATGACCTCGAGGCGTGAAGATGGACGGTGTGGCGCAGTGCGCTGTGCAATGATCATCAGATCAAGGGATGAAACCCGCTGCTGCCGGTGCCGGTGTGTCCTTAGGGCAAGACACTCCACCTGAACTTGCTCCTGTGGGTATTGTCCACAGTATCTGACCATTGCATGTATGATGTGTAATGTGTGTATATGTAAAGCGCTTTGAGTCATTGAAAAAGCGCTATAATAAATGTAAGGAATTATTATTATTAGATACACTCATTCCTATCAGCCTCTGTGGGTGCAGGGGCATTACAAAAGGAATTAAAAAATGCTCTCAATACAGCAGTGAGATACAGACATTATGCTGCAGCAGCACGGCACTAGTACACATCATGTGTGAGCATCTGTTTCTCATTTCAGTCAAAGAGCTTGATTGTTCATCACAGCAGCGCAGACATTAAAGGGCACTTTCTCTAAAACAGTGCATATATTGTGCATTTAATTACGCTCATCTCCTCAGACTGTTAACAATCTGTCTCGATTTCACCCAGTTTAAAGGTTATTGAGCTCTCTCTGCACACGTTACTGAAACATGACTGTGCTGCGTTAACTTAAAGTTCACTGAGATCATACAAAATAAAAAGGGCTGTTGTTTAAAATCTCATTCTCCCTCCAGCTAGAAGCTCCTCTGATGTCTGGACATAATCACTGTGGTAAAAAACTAATCAGTTATCCTAATGAGGCCATTCATTAAACAAATGAATGCATTAATTATCAAATTGCTCTGTGTCAGTGTAATTGTCCTCACATAAAACATTGTTAGCAAACTGGTGTTTAGCTGAAATTCAGTGGGACAAGGCTATTTACCGTGGAGCCTTTTATTTGTGCTTTATACTGATAATAAGGGAAAGTCTGTATTTTACAGCATAGTCGTTTCTTAATTAGAAGAAAGGTTATTTTATTAAGTGTATCAGATCTTTTGCGTCAGGCTTAATGTCACTGAATTGAGTTGTATTGTGTTTTTTACGAGAGAAAGTAACTTTTAAGTTTCCACATTTTTGGTCAGAATAACCAGAACACGCCTAATGAAGAATTCGATGCCACGTTCCCGCATTTTGTTAAACAAAATCATAGCTGACTTATTTGGTGTATCTTTGTGGGTCTTTAAACCATCATGGTGGAAAATGCGGCCAACCATAGTTTGTTCCTTGTGTGAAAAGGGAGGGAGGCTGTGGCGCAGTGGACTAGTGTTTGAATCTGGGGGTCACAGGTTCAAACCCCACTGCAGTCAGCATGTCGTTGTGTCCCTGGGCAAGACACTTCACCCCAAATTGCTCCTGTGGGGATTGCCCACAGTATTGAATATGTAAGTCACTTTGGATACAAGCGTCTAACAAGTGACATGTAATGTAATGTAAAAGTCAGGAATACAAATCCATATATACTGGATATGGGCTTCAAATGCACCATAGTGGTCAATTTGCTTTTCATGTAGCAGCTATTTATATTCACTCAACATATGAAGCTGTTAAACAACTCTACCAATTGCCTCTTTATATGGGCGTCTCATCTGGTGAAGTGTGTAAGGCAGTAACGGCCCGTCCACACTACAGCTTCAAAAAAAGCTTGGAGCTGAGCGTGTCTGAAGCTCGACCAACAACCAATCACATGAATCTCCCGCCCCTGACACACAAGCAGCGGTTTGATTGGCTAGAGCTTGTACTGGCATATGATTCGATTGGCTGACGCTTCCACCGAAAGCTTCAGAAGCTTCAAAAGTTGAACATTGCTCAACTTCTGCAGCCTGAAACGCCAGGAAAACTCCGCTCTGCTTCCCACAATGCAGTTCGGCGAAAAGTGATGTCACCCCATTCAAAGTGAATGGGCAGACGCGTTGGAAACCGTTTTTGAAGCTGTCGAAGCTGTAGTGTTAACGGGCCGTAACTGTTAGCGATGCTGTCTCATGGTATATTAAGGGCTGGGAAACAGTTGCCAAATCGTCTGCAGAAAACAGCAACTCACTGATTTCCAGCCAAGCGTGCATAAAACAGTTTTGCAGTCAAAACTTGTTTAAGGCTCACAAATGTCCCTGTGGATTGGTTAGTTGAAATGGTTTTGATGTGTTTATTTTTGTTTCTGTCGAGTTTGAATAAAGAGTTTTAAACGATGGTGAGATATTCTGTTCTTGTACATATCATATTCTGTTTACATGTATTGCACTACTTTTTTATTTTGTATTTTATTATATATGTTGGATTGTTGGAGGAGTTCAGGTCAGAAGAATGCCATTGCCATTTCTACACTGTACTGTAGCGTTGTGCAAAATAACACCTTTGAATTTGAACATTACTGTTACTTTTAAACACATTAATTGTAGATTTTCGACTTTAATAAATTGAATAAATGTAAAAATATTTGAAAGAATATTCATTTCAACCAGTGTTGCCTCAAACAGTCCAGAAAAGAGGCCAACATGGTGTCATATATCCATCACTCATTGGAGCTGATAAACCCCACTGAAGACAAAGACCAGATGTTTGGGTTTCTTTCATCCAGTGGGAAAAAGGGTTACAGACAGATATGATTTTTATAATCGATTCCTAATCGAATCACTTCTGATGGCTGTTATTACCTTGCAGACGCGAGCCACTCGGGCCACGTTGAGCTCGGTGTCGCAGTCCAGCTCCAACGCCCGCTCACTGAAGAAGAAGTAGATTTTGTCGTCGTCTCCATCTTTACTGCCGCTGCTCTCCCTCACCAGGGCCGAACCCACGAAGTCCGGCTCTGCACACACACACACACACACACACACACACACACACACACACACACACACACACACACACACACACACACACACACACACACACACACACACACACACACACACACACACACACACACACACACACAACACACACACACACACACAAAGAAAAGTGGTTTTAGAAAGTGTACTTTCTTACAGTAAAGATATACATCACATGTGAACGAATAGATAGTCTCAGTCTGAAGGTGCATTTGGACTGAATCACATCTCACACACACACAAACCTGCCTTTTACACACACACACACACACACACACCCACACACACACACACACACACCCACACACACACACACACACACACACACACACACACACACACACACACACACACACACACACACACACACACACACACACACACACACACACACACACACACACACACACACACACACACACACACACACACACACACACACACACACACACACACACACACACACACACACACTTGACACCTCCATCTCATTCCCTGCCGCCCCTTCTCACCCGTCTGTCTATTTTCTATCATCACTCTCTCCTTCGCATCATCTCTCCTCCAGTCATTTCTCACTCTCAGTCTCTCCACTGCTCTCTATTATCGGTCCATTTTGTGTTTCTCACTTCGCCTCAGATTCTTTTACTATATCCAGGCCTTCATTACATTTGGAGTGATATGCTTTTATAGAAGAACAAAGACAGATACAGGCATTCTTCCGGACTCGAGCGGCAGGAGGCTTTAGATTCAGCCATTTTCTGTACAAAGATACCAACCTTCTCATTTTGAAAGATATGTTTTCAGAAATAGCCTGATAGAGAGATGTTCTAGCTTTCCAGCTGCAAGGGGCTTTCGATTCATTGTAAGGTGTTTTGTTTGAGTTACAAAGACTCAACATTTCCCAAGATGAACTGTTATTTTTCCGTATAAAAGCCTTAATGCTGTATTTTAAGCCACCGTGGGATATTAGAACTCTCCACTGAAACCCAGGCCAATTAAATGCTTTTATGCTGGTTAGAAGCTGCTTAAATTAAGGTGAGGATAGCCTCATAGGTCTAGTTTTTAATAAAAGCCCCATGAATAATAAACGGCCACATCGATCCACCCTCAGCCTCATCTGTATGTATCTGTACCCTCCCTCTGCCTCCTTTCTCCATTCCTCTCGCTCTATCTTTTCATCACCAATCCTAATGTCTGTTCTTTCATCAGCCAATTTTCCTGCTGTGACTTCATCCTCTTCTCTGCCCCTCATTTCTCTCGAGGTATCTCACTCCTGCTCCCCGAAATAGATAACGATCCTTCGCTTTAGCCGAGTCCTACGCTTCATTTCCTGCAACTCATTTATCTTTTTCTCTTGTTCTTTTGCATGTTTCTGGCTCTTTCTTTTTTTAATGAAACTGTTAAAAATAAGCCGCCGTTATCACACTCGAATGCAATTCATTTTATGAATGTGTCGCCATGGAAAAAAAGTCTTGAAGCTGAACTGATGAGGAATATTTGTATTCATAATTACTATACTTGCATGGAGGAATAGATTTTCTTCACAAACATTTAATTTTCTTCTATAAGTTTTGAATAACATGATAGTTTACTTTTTAAGCTATGTGTTCATATTCCTTAACACTAGAACCGCCAACGGGTCCATTTTACCCGCAGCTGTTTTTTGATTGTAGCCTATGTCACTTTTTTCAATAAAATATTAAAGTCTCCCAGTACGTGACTTTTTCTGAAAGTGTGTTATGTAGCACCCTCTGTTGTTAGAAATTGTCAATATGAAGTCAGATTGAAAAAATCGCCAAAAGAAATTGCCATTTATACCCATCAGCGCCATCGGGTAATATTGACCTCATAGAAAAGGCAGCATGACGTGTTGCTATAGCAACGCCTTTTGTCTACTGCGGTTCCTTAAAGATAGAGAGATAGATTGAGAGAGATAGATAGATAGATAGATAGATAGATAGATAGATAGATAGATAGATAGATAGATAGATAGATAGATAGATAGATTAGATAGATAGATATAGATAGATAGATGGAGAGAGAGATAGATAGACAGATAGTGCTAGTTAGGATAGAGAGGAGCTAGATCGATAGTTACAGGTAGATAATAGATAGATAG